GTCCGGCGGGGGATGGGGACGGGGACGGGGACGGGGAGGGCACCGCGGGGGGAGGAGGGGGCCAGGGTGGTGCGCCCAATTCCTGCTGTCAGAACTAATTTAGGGCTACAATATCAGAGGTACCTAACAACAGAGCAGAGTGCAGGCGCAGGCACACACTGGGCCGCTCTTCACACTAATAAGAATCACACATTTGATTTAGAAAGCGCTTTTTTTTCCTAAATACTAAAGAATATGATTTAAAAAGTACAAAAACAAGACAAAATACAGGAATACAGGTTCTAAATAGACGGGGTCTGAGCAGTTTCTTGAAGGTACAGAGTTCAGAACAGTCACGGATTTGCTCTTGTCCTCAAATTGTCAAGGTTTTGTGTTTTGTAGTAACGTGTTGATTTTTTTTTTTTTTTTGTTTGTTTTTTGGAATATGTTGGTAATTTGTGATATTTTTAATAATACATTTTATTTGAGGCAGCTTCAAGACATTCAAGGTCACTGTACAATATTTCAAAATACAAAATACAATCAAATGGTAGAGGAAACAACTACAGTAATATACATCATGTATTCACAGTAACTGTAACTGTATTCACTTACTGTTACTGTTTCAGTGAGTGGTAATTGGATTACAGTTACTTTTGTTGAAATAAATGGATTACACGGTGGTATTTTCCTGTTTCCACATTTTGGGCTAAACTAGGACTAAAACCAGGACTAAAGCAGGACTAATACCAGGTCTAAACCAGGTCTAAACCAGGACTAAACCAGGACTAAACCAGGACCAAACTAGGACTTAAACCAGGTATAAACCAGGTCTAAACCAGGACTAAACCAGATCTAAACCAGGACTAAAACCAGGACTAAAACCAGGACTAAAACCAGGTCTAAACCAGGTCTAAACCAGGACTAAAACCAGGTCTAAACCAGGACTAAACCAGGTCTAAACATAGTCTAGTAATGTTTTTTCTTGTAACATGGTGGTAATGTGTGATATTTTTAATAATACACTTTATTTGAGGCAGCTTCAAGACACTCAAGGTCACTGTACAATATTTTAGAATACAAAATACAAATGGTAATCAAATGGTAGACGAAACGACTACAGTAAAATACATCATGTTCAGTGTTGGGGAGTAACAGATTACATGTACCAGCGTTATGTAATCAGAGTACAAATTATGAGTAACTGCATTCAGTTACAGTTACTGTTTCAGTGAGTGGTAATTGGATTACAGTTACTTTGTTGAAGTAAATTGATTACATAGTGGTATTTTCCTGTTTTCACATTTTGGGCTAAACCAGGACTAAACCAAGTCTAAAACAGGACTAAACCAGGTCTAAAACCAGGACTAAACCAGGACTAATACCAGGACTAAAACTTGGACTAAAACCAGGATTAAAACCAGGACTAAAACCAGGACTAATACCAGGACTAAAACAGGATTAACCCAAGACTAAACCATTACTAATGCCAGATCTAAACCAGGACTAAACCAGAACTAAACCAGGACTAAAACCAGGATTAAACCAGGTCTAAACCAGGACTAAACCAGAACTAAACCAGGACTAAAACCAGGATTAAACCAGGTCTAAACCAGGACTAAACCAGAACTAATCCAAGTCTAAAACAGGACTAAACCAGGTCTAAATGATATGACACTAACAGTAGGTGGACATAATTTAAAGCAGCAGTAGATCATATAGAAGTAGTTCATATAGAAATCATTTCTTTATCAATAATAGCGACAAAACATCTCATGTTAAAATATCTTCGTCTTTGCTTCTCTACAGTAAACAAAAGTCTGTTTATGGAGACTTGGACTCAACAATTTGAAGAGAACAAACAAGAATTTTCAGGATGTGGTTGCTACATTCATGTAGTTTTAAAAAACATGACAATATCAAGTAATCATTTACATTACTCACTAAGTAATTTAATGTACTAAGTAATTACAAACTACATGTTGGGGTATGTAATCTGTAATCTGTAGGGGAATACATTTTAAAAGTCACCTTCCCAACACTGATCCTGTTAAAGATTAGGTATGTAACAATATCCAAACCTCTTAGGACGATATTATCACGATATGCATCTCACGGTACGATATTTATTGCAATATTTTGGAGAGGCTGATATAATTGTAGATAGGACATGTTTCTGCTTTTAAAATACCTTGACAAGATTTTGGTGTGAATTATTTCCGTTATAAGACCAAGAATTCAAGTAAAAACATCTCTTCATGTTGTCTATGCTGAAATGAATCATGGGATATGTAGTTTTTGATGTTTATAAGCTGTTGCTACTATAAAACCTGCATTTAAACACTCAGGAACTTCTAATTCGATATATTGTGACAGCCCTGAGACTTTTGACGATACGATATGATATTTCGCTTATTGTTACATTCCTATTAAAGCTGCACTGTGTAACTTTTTTAGTGGAGGGTTCCTCAAATTCTTTTCTTAATGGAGATGTTGTTGCGTTGTCTGGGATGTGTCACAGTGTGGTATTAAACTTTTCTTCTTAATAGAGACCAAATCAGATCCGTTACAGGTCAAATCTATGGAGAGGCAATTCACTCACAGTCACAATGTCTGTTTTTCTGGGTGTTTTTGAGCTTTAAAACCAACTATAATTGAATACGTGTAAAGTAGAGCTGTTTAATGTGATACTGTGGAACATTCCAGGCAAAAGAATGATATATCCAAATCTCACGGTACGATATTTATTGCGATATTTTGTGGAGGCTAACAAAATGGTGAAAATGCTGCGTTTTCCTCTTGACAAGACTTAATCCAAAGAACTAAGACTTAGAAGTGTTAGAACTGTTATTTCTTGTTGTAGTCCAGACATGTCAAACTCAGGCTCGGGCACCAAATTTGGCCCACGATATAATTATATTTGGCCTGTGAGATCAGATCAAATATTTATTAGAGCTGCCCGCCAGCTACAGATTGGTTATAGAGACATTATTTATTTAAAATGATGTTATTATTTTATATTATGTTCTGGATTCAATGTTTAAACAAAACTATTAATAAACATTTATTTGAATAAGAAAAGGTTTAACATTACAGATCTCAAAAAAAGAGAAAACATGCAGATGTTGTTGACATTTTTCAATAAATATTTATTTTGGTCCACGACTTAGTCCCAATTTTTAATTTTGGCCTCAGTGAATTTGAGTTTGACATCCCTCATGTAGTGAAAACAGAGCAAAGGATCATGGTCTATGTAGTTCCATCTGTTTTTTTGAGATGTTGCTGCATCATAACTCTTCATTTAAACAAAGAGACTTGTAATTCGATATATTGTGATGGTCCATGATATTACTGACAGACTTTTGACGATACGATATCACGATATTTTGGTTATTGTTACATCCCTACTATCCATAGAAACAAGCGGGTAACAGACTATAAACCAAAAAGTTACATAGTGCAACTTTAGAATGGTAAAAGTTAAAGCTGCATTTGCAAACGGGCCAGAAAACGTTTGTGAGTTTTAATGAGGGATTTGAACTGACTATCCTCTACTTTTTTAACGTAGATTGCTTAAACTGATCTAAACCTCATTATTTCATATACTTTCTTGGTCAACAATAATAATTAAGATACTTTATTAGAGCAGATGACCAAACCTAGTGTCTTTGTGTCTTATCGGGTCATTATAGGGTCTGTGTCTTCTTGGTAAGTCATTTAAATGCTGATTTTGTGTAAGTTTGAAGCATGATTTCCTACATAAAATAAATAAATCAATAAAGATCCAGTTTGGTCAACTGTTTAGGGACTGCGTGCCACAAAATGTATAGAAAATAGAAAATAACCCAGATGAATTTTGTGCAAACATACCGTCAAAATCCAATTAACAAAAACATAACCCAGCTTCTGTCACATTTTACTATAGTTCATCATTATTTTAACTCAAGATTTCATTAAGAGTTGAGTTAGTTAAACTTGGTTTAACTAATCCCAGCCTACTCCAATTTGGGGCTAATCCAGTCTGAGTTTAGTCCAGGTTTAGACCTGGTTTAGACTCTGATTTGGGGCTAATCTAGTCTGAGTTTAGTCCTGGTTTAGACTCTGATTTGGGACTAATCTAGTCTGAGTTTAGTCCTGGTTTAGACCTGTGTTCATCCAATTAAGGCAAAGCTCAAACAAGCTTGCTGTATTGATCCTTTCCTCCTAGTTCCTCCTAGCTCCTTCCATCCTTATCTCCTTTCCTTCCTTGTTTTGGCTTAGTCCTTCACGCCATTGCATCCTTTCTTCTCCTCATCCTTCATCGTCTCTGCACTGCTTCCATCTTTCTTGTTTCTGGGCCTAGTCCTTCCCTTCTTCCTCCCTTCTTCTCGCCTTCAAAGCGACCTTCCACGGTTCATTCATCTTTTCCTGTCTTCCACCGTTGTCCTTTCTTTTTCCTCGCATCTTTTGATCCATCTTCTCCTTAATGAACCTACTCCACAAATTCCCACAGACATCCCCCTCTCCCCTCCTCCTCCTCCTCCTCCTCTTCCTCCTCCTCATCTTCCTAAACCCGATCCCCTGGTTGCTCCTCAAACCTCAGCTCTGTCACGAGAGAAAAACTGACGAGCAGAACCAAACCGTGCACGCGCTCTATTTATAATTTCTGCGCGTAACGTTGCGTCTGCGAGCGTCTCCAGATCATTAGCCAATGCACATACATCCTCCCGTACTGCATCAGCTGCCACGGCGCTTCTCGTGTGAGGACGTCACCGACTCTCTCCACTTCCTCTCCTTCCCTCGCTAGTTTTTTTTTCCTTTTTTGTTCCAACCGAGAGCGTATCTCCTTTTGCTCGCTGCCTCGCTCTACGCCGCCCACTTATTCCCCACCATTGATCCGACCGCTCGCCGGCTTCTCCTTCGCCTCCATCGCATCCCCCCGCTGCGCGCTTTTCACCATTCTAGTCCAACGGGATAGAGGCAGGCGCACCAGAAAAGCACCAAGACACGCCGGGATTTAGGAGCCGAATCAGAGAATCACCATGGCGAGCACCGAGGACAAACCCGCCAACAAGGAGAACACGTCTAGTTGGAAGGACTCCATCTATAACCCCAGAACCGGAGAGCTTTTGGGTCGCACGGCCAGCAGCTGGGGTAAGCCTCTCCCGTTCATTCATTGCGTCCAATTAGCGCTTCACGTTTTCACCTCAAGGTAGAATTGTGTGAAAATAGCGCAGAGCCGGTGGCCTACACCAAGGTGGCGAGCCTGCGCTGGTGAATCTGTCCTTTTTCTAAAGACACCCTCGGCGTTTTGCCGCATTGCTCGCATTTCCCATTCAAATGACTCATAACCAATCACACATCTATAGTCTCGATATGACACAAGGATGTGTGCAGCTATTACCTAACCATCTTCTTAGCACTGTCCATACATTTATGTAATACAGGCCCTAGTCATTGGCTCAGCTCTGAGGGGACAAAAGGTCATTTTCTGCCATTTTTAAAGGTGCGATCACCTTTTCAGACGGGATGGCAGAGGAAAAACGCAGTGGCTTTCAGCTGTTCTTGTGACATGTGAGGATGGGGGGAATTGATGAGAAAGATGAGCCTTTCTGTGCAGTCAATGACATGAGTAAGCCATTGTAACAGCACCGGCCATTGGCTCATTAAAGTGATTCATCCAGGACTGTGTGTGCGCTCAGGGCTTTGGTCACAGAATGCTCCCAAAGACAAAGTGTGAGTCTTCTACCTGATCAGTGCTAATGATGCACCAGTCATTTGCACAGGGGGGACGTGAGCAGAGCCTCCCCTCTCAGAGCGCGCTCCTCTCAGCGGCGGAGGGGACTGCGGGCTGCGCTGGGCCCCTGTGCTGCTGTGGAGTGGGATGCTCCATTGCAGTTGCATGGCCGCCCACATTAGCATGCCTGTCAAGGTCAAATGGGATTCCCTCTCTCCTCTTTCTCCCCGTCTTTCTGTGCACGCACACCGGCCAGGTGCATTGTGGGATACGGCCGGAGAGCGTGAGGCAGCGGCGGCAGAGCGGGGGGTGTGCGGCGCGAGGAGCAGGGGTCCATGGTTTTTAGAGGGCAGAACCATTTTGAATCAGATGTGTTGGAGGCATGAGGCAGCAGATGCTCTCAGCTCTGCAGTGGCTCTCCAGGACCCAGGCAGGAGCAGGAGCAGGGCAGGAGCAGTACCAGGAGCAGTACCAGGAGCAGTACCAGGAGCAGTGGCAGGAGCAGTGGCAGGAGCAGTGGCAGGAGCAGAAGAGACAGGAGAAAGGAGGCCTGTCTCTGAGGACGGGATTAGACGCAGGAGGAGCTCTGTGTCTTTGTGTGTGCGTCTCTTTGTGCTACACATGAGACATGAACATGAGCTGTCACTGCAGCATCACTACACAGAGTCTGGAAAGGTGCTCTGTGCTAGAACAGGATCTGCAATCATCATAATGCAGTGGTAAAGGTGAACTCACTTATTCATACATACTAATGCAGTCCATTAAACAGGCACAGTCATACAGGCACATCACACACACCATGTACACTCCCACTGTGTGTGCGAGTGTGTGTGCACTTCAACAACACTCACTATATGTAATACATGTGTAGTCTGCACTGAAATGAAGAGCTGTTTCAGTGACAAGCAGTAAGTGTGCAGAATCCATCCTTAGAGGTACAGTGGATGTGAGTGAGAGTCAAACAGATCGTAGACTTTCCCCTCTGTGGCTCTGGTCAAAGCTCACTAAGGAAGCACTGAAAGAGAAACTGCGACAAAAAATGCAAATTCCTCAACATTCCAGCTGTAAGAAGAAGGCTTTACACTTTATGGAGCGTACTTGGTGTTAAATTCTAACATATGTAGATAAGAATTTTGCATTTTGTTCATTGAAAACTGTAATACTGATGTGAAAAGGTTTAATGACAGAAACAAACCCCCGGACTTCCTGCAGACCTGACAAGCCCCGCCCCTTCAGACTCAAATTCCTCCATAGCAACCATCTGATTTTTATTTACTTTACTTTTTTTTTTTTTTTTTTTTTTTGTCGAATAATGGCTGCTTTACGTTTTCTAACCCTATGCATGATCTGGTGTCTGAATTTTGGGTAATAATCACGAGTAAGTAGACACGTGGGCGGGGATAGGGGGTAGGTGAAGACACGTTTTAGGGCAATACAGGATTACTTCAACATGAATCGACTGAAATGCAACTTTGAGAAGGTTAATGGTGAAGGGACACCATTACAGCAAGGTTAAAAGTTTGTAAAGGTCAGTTTTATACACGATGTAACGTCCTCTTGAAATCCAATCACAGTGAGAGCGACGGACTTTCGGAGAGTGAAACTTACAAAGGTGAGAATGCCAATGATGCGTCTGTGTGGAGTCCTGCGATATCTAAACAAACTATTGGGGACTTTATACTCAATTATGGACCAAAATTGCCCTGAAATCTGGATGTTTCTCAGGCTAGTCCGTTGAAATATTTGTCTTTTTTTTCAAGGTGAGATGTATGATGTATTGCCACAGAAACACTTATGCGGAGCTCTGCACACGAGAAAGTAACCAAGATAACAAATACTGGACACCCACTGACAGGAAAGAGTTTTATTATTATATTATTATATTATAACAAGTTAAATGAGTAAAATGAATTAGGTACACACAGGGATATTTATAATCACTTGTGGAAGTCCAATTTCTTTTATGCAGTTATGCTCTATGGGCAGCCCTAGTAATATATGTATGGGTTGCTGGTTGTTGGTTGTAGGCGTCCAAGGAGGAAAGAGTTAAGTATTCCGTACTGTCTGCTTTTAATTCCTCCAGCGCTTTATACAATTTGGCAATGGCTTTCAAAACTATCTGTGATTTGTATGCTTCCATAATGATTTTTATGACGCCTGATGTATCTAGGGTAACTTTCTTACTTTTTATATTGTCTTTTAGAAGACAAAAGATCTTATGTTCAGATATCCTCGTCTTTGCTACTTCACAGCATCAATTACCTTTTCATGGAGACTTGGGCTCAACAGACAATTTGAAGAGAACAAACAGGAATTTGCAGGATGCGGTTGCTTCATTCAGGTAGTTTTAAAAAGCATGACAATATCAAGTAATCCAAACTATTCAGATTACATTACTCACTTTAAGTAACTTAATGGATTAATGTTACAAACTACATTTTGGGGTATGTAATCTTTAATATGTAGGGGAATACATTTTAAAAGTAACCTTCCCAACACTGATCACAGCACTAGAAGACAAGTATGATCTCTGTTTTCAAGTTTACATTCTCTATATTTAATAGTGACATGTAAAGTGTGGGCGGGGATGGGGGTAGGTGAAACAGACATTTCTTCAGTATTCATGTCTCATATGCAGGACCATACAGGATTACACCAACATGCATGATCAAAATACAAACTTAATAATGAGGGTTAAAAGTATGTAAAAGTCCATTTGATTTACAGCCTTCCCTTTAATAAAATCTAAATGAGTTCACATCACAATAGAGCATAGAGTTTGTGTCAATCATGTGACACACAACTCACTAGAACAGGGTCTCCAAAAGTTTTCCTCCGGTGAGCTACTTTTACAAAACAAAAATGTCAAAGAGCTGCTCATTTTAACGGCCGCAACGAACTCAGACGGTTATAAGAAAGAGGGCGAGCCTTTGGGTGCAGTTAGACGCCAATAAAACAGGGATCTTGAAACTTTTTCCTTGGATGAGCTTTACCTTTACAACACAAAAAGTCCATAGAGCTACTCATTTTAATGATCATAAGAGCCACAGCTAAACCTAGATGGAGTACAGTTAGATCAAACAACATAAACCATTATTTAATGATGAGTGCACAAAGTCAGGCATCAGAATGATAGATTTATAATAACAATAGGCATTTAATTCATCAAGTTTTAGTTATTCAGAACAATACACAGCGCCACCTAGTGTCTCCGCTCAATTTCATTTCTCTCTAGTGACTAGGTCAGGAATCAAAATACACTAGACGGTTCTCAAAAACCCCGGAAGTGTGAGTTCGGGCACCAGCCAATCAGTGAAGAGCCAGATATTCTGTGCTGGCAACGATTCCCGAGATCGAGGATTTAAAGTTGGAACAAAGAGAATGTTTGGTGAATTTTATCAAGGGGAAAGACGTCATTGCCCTTTGTCCTACAGTATTTGGTGCATCACATATGTCACAATCAAATAGCAGTGATCAGTTAAACCAAAAAAAAGTACCCGATTACCGTCGAGTGAATGATAATGCTGCGAGGTCAGATGGTTTCCACGAAGTGAAACCGGCTGATAAATCAGGTTATAGGGGAGGGGGTTAGGTGAAAAACAGACATTTCCTGAGCGCTCATGTCTCATGTGCAGGACAATACAGGATTACTCCAACATGAATCAATCAAAATACAACTCTGAGAAGGTTAATGGGCAGAGAAAGGAAGATAACAACATTACAACATGGTTCAAAGCTTGTAAAAGTCCATTTTGTATGGACACTGTCCATACAGTGTCCCCTTTAACGAGAACCCCATCGATACAAAAATTAAATCAGCAATATTTAATGATGGGATGTAGGCTGTGGGCGGGGACAGGGGGTAAGTGAGATCAGACTTTTTGAGCACTCAAGGCTCAAATGCAGGAGTAAACCAGGACTAAATCAAGACTAAACCAGGACTAAACCAAGACTAAACCAGGACTAAACCAGGACTAAACCAGGACTAAACTAAGAATAAACCAAGATTAAACCAAGACTAAACAAGGACTAAATCAGGACTAAAATGGGACTAAACCAAGACTAAATCAAAACTAAATCAAGACTAAATCAAGATTAAACCAGGACTAAGCCAGGACTAAACCAGGACTAAATCTGGAAAAGTCAAGACTAAACTAGACTGTGAACTAGAAACTGTATAAAGAAGTGAACTAAACGAGTATGACATTGGATTTGTTTTAACAGACGGTGGGCGGGGATAGGGGGTAGGTGAAATCAGACTTTTTGAGCACTCAAGTCTCAAACGCAGTATTACTCAAACCTCCATGAATCAATCAAAAATACAACTCTGAGTAGGTTAACGACGAGAGAACAACACTACAGCAGCGTCAAAACTCGTAAAAGTCCATTTTATACCCGATGTTCCCTTTAATGAAAACAAAATGAATCACTTTACGGCGTACAGTTTGTGCCGACCCTCAGCCAGGATAAATTGTTTGGTTTTGGAGTGTGTGTTTTAAATCATCCATATTTGATGGTGAGCCATTTGTTGTGAGGCGGCGCGCGCTCCGTCCGCTGCCTTTAAATGTTTATGTGGCGTGTTAGTGTAAAAACACAGACCACTTAGGCTGAGTGGAGCCAGGGCCACTCCACAGCTCCACTCTCACTGGCCACGTTCAATCAGAGCGATGAGGGGGCGTTTGTTATCCCCACATGTTACTTTAATCAGAGCAGTTTGGAGAACGATGGAAAATAATGGTACGTCTTGGAAAAAGCGCTCGAAAAATGAAGCAAATATGATTATGTTTAAGCAAAAAGGTGTTGAGAAGTGTTTGTTTGAAATGTTCAGGTGACAAATGTCAAAAATAAATCAAAGATGTCAGTGAAACGTAAAATTGAGCAAGACTGAAATCGGGACTAAAGACTAAACCAGGATTAAACCAGGAGTAAACCGAGATTAAAAACCAAGACTAATCCAGGACTAAATCTGGACTAAACCAAGACTAAACCAGGATTAAACCAGGACTAAATCTGGACTAAACCAAGACTAAACCAGGATTAAACCAGGAGTAAACTGAGATTAAACCAAGACTAAACCAGGACTAAATCTGGACTAAACCAAGACTAAACCAGGATTAAACCAGGACTAAATCTGGACTAAACCAAGACTAAACCAGGATTAAACCAGGACTAAATCTGGACTAAACCAAGACTAAACCAGGAATAAACCAAGACGAGACCAAGACTAAACCAGTACTTAACCAGTTTCAAACCTGAACCCAACCAAGACTAAACTTGGACCAAACCGGGATCAAACTAAGACTAAACCAGAATTAAACCAAGACTAAACCAGGACCAAACCAGGGCCCACCCAAGACTAAACTGGAACAAAACCAGCTCCAAACCTGGACCAAACCAGGAACAAATCAAGACTAAACCAAAAACAAACCAGGACTAAACCAGGACTAAATCAAATCCATGTACTTTACATTCAGCTCCAGGACGTATCGAGTCTACATCCAAAACAGAAGTGTCAATCAGCCTGCCTCCCCACGCACTGTCAGAACATAACCTCTGTCAGGGCTTACTCAGCTCTGGGACCCTGTCTGTGATCCAGCGTGGCAGCCCGGTCACACGGCTCGTCTCTAGGGAGCTCCACTCAAACTCAAACACTGCTCCTGTGTTAATTATAAATGAAGCGTCACTCACCTCTGGACTCCCTTCCTCCCTCCACAGCCCTGATCCTCCTCTTTTACCTGGTCTTCTACTGTTTCCTGGCCGGGATGTTTGCCCTGACCATGTGGGTGATGCTGCTGACCCTGGACGACTACGTGCCCAGATACAGGGACCGTGTGCCCTTCCCAGGTGAGAGAAAACTGCAAAAACAGTCATGTGTTGTGTTGTATTGTAAAAAACATTAGAATATGTGTGCAAGACCAAACCAGGACTAAAGCAGAACCAAACCAGGACCAAACTAAAACTAAACTAAGACCAGAGACAGATACAGGGATCGTGTACCCTTCCCAGGTGAGAGAAAACTGCACAGAGACTTATGTGTTGTATTGTATAAAACATCAGAATATGTGACCAAGACCAAACCAGAACTAAACCAAGACTAAACTAAGACAAAAGACAGATACAGGGACAGTGTGCCCTTCACAGGTGAGAGAAAACTGCAAAGGGACAGACGTGTTGTATTGCAGAAAACATCTGAATATGTGTGCAAGACCAAACCAGAACTAAACCAGGACTAAACTAAGACCAAACCAGGACCAAACTAAGACTAAATGAAGACCAGAGACAGATACAGGGACCGTGTACCCTTCCCAGGTGAGAGACAAAAACTGTGAAGAGACAGATGTGTGGTATTGTAGAAAACATTAGAAAATGTGACCAAACCAGAACTAAACCAGGACCAAATTAAGACTAAACCAAGACCAGAGACAGATACAAGGACCATGTGCCCTTCACAGGTGAGAGAAGACTGCAAGGAGACTCATGTGTTATATTCTAGAAAACCTTACAATATATGTGTGCAAGACCAAACCAGGACTAAACCAAGACCAAACCAGGACCAAACTAAGACTAAACCAAAACCAACGACAGATACAGGAACCGTGTGTCCTTCACAGGTGAGAGAAAACTGCAAAGGGACTGATTTATTGTATTGTAGAAAACATTAGAATATGTGTGCAAGACCAAACCAGAACTAAACCAGGACTAAACTAAGACCAAACTAAAACCAGAGACAGATACAGAGACCATATGCCCTTCACAGGTGAGAGAAAACTGCAAAGAGACTCATGTTGTATTGTAGAAAACATTAGAATATGTGCACAAACCAAACCAGAATTAAACCAAGATTAAACCAGGACCAAACTAAGACTAAACCAAGATTAAAGACAGATAAAAGAACCGTGTGCCCTTCACAGGTGAGAGACAAAAACTGTGAAGAGGCAGATGTGTGGTATTTTAGAAAACATGTGGATGATGATGATGATGATTTGGTATTATATTGCACTTTTCTAGATGCTCCAAGTCATCTGACCTGTACTAAATGAATACTAAACCAAGACCAAACCAAGACTAAACCAAGATCAGATCAGGACACAACCAAGATTAAACCAGATCTAAACCTGGACCTAATCAGAGCTAAGCCACGACCAAAACAAGACTAAGACAGAACCCAACCAAGACTAAACCAAGACCCGATACAGGGACCGTGTGACCTTCCCAGGTGAGACACAAAAACTTTGAAGAGACAGAGGAGAAATCGTGTATTGTAGAAAACATGTGAAATGTGTCCACACGGCGCAGTACCAGGCCCGAGAGGAAAATACGATCACAAACATTTTATTGTCTACTTCTGCTAATTGCATGTTTAGTACTGGTCCCTGTGAGGAAAGAACAGGGTTGGGGACCATTGCATCAGAATATGTTTACTCATAATTGGAAATTATTGACTTTCTGATTAATATTATGAATTTTTAGCAGATTAATTCATTGCCATTTCAAGAGGTTTTGACAAATCTGAGTCTGAAATGGACCCACAGTGGCATTCAGGTGGCATTACAACAGTCTATAGGTGTATTCAATGTGTTAGTAATAATATATTATCTTTATATTCTAAGACAAATGAAGTAAATGTGGTTTTAAATAATCAAATAATAGTAATTAATAATTGTAATGAATTTAAAGTACAATATTCTTCATCCAGACAAACATTTTAGAGGTAAATTGGACCAAATCAAAGTATATGGCCAAAAAACAGGACTTGAAGGAATACTGATCCTTTGCAGTGACATCATGTTGGGGGTTTCTGCATATATATCTATGGCCAAATGTTTAGCAGTAACCATGATGACACAGTGCACACATTAGTAAACAGCCTGATATATTTTTAGATTGACAAAATAGATTTAAAGAGCCTGTTTTCAAGAGAGTGTGATCAGTACAAGCGACACTGTTGAGGAGTAATGGATTACATGCACCGGAGTTACGTAATTAGAGTACAAATTATGAGTAACTGTATTCAGTTACAGTTACTGTTTCAGTGAGTGGTAATTGGATTACAGTTATTTTGTTGAAATAAATGGATTACACGGCGGTATTTTCCTGTTTTCACATTTTGGACTAAACCAGGACTAAAACAGTACTAAACCAGGATTTAACAGGACTAAACCATGCTGTGCGGACCGTGTCTCCTCCTCTTCTATAAATAATATTTTTAATTTGGTTGAGTAAAGTCTGGGCTTTTTATTTTCTTTTAGCAGACAAAACATCTTATGTTACAATATCCTCGTGTTTGCTCCTCTACAGCAAATCAAGTTAATGGATTCTGTTACAAACTACATTTTGGGGTATATAATCTGTAATCTGTAGGGGAATACATTTTAAAAGTCACCTTCCCAATACTGACGAGCAACCATGGTCCTGTTAGTTTCGGTGTTTGATTTTCGACTAAAAATGTGTGATCGACAAAGGGACCGGTTAAACGGCACAGTTCAGATCACCTCTTAGTCACTTTTAGTTTCAAATAAGTCATCTCTTTCTGGTCAGATTGTGTTCAAATAAAGATAAAATAAATAAAGTCTGACTTGACTAACAGCGCTTCAGACAGAGCAGTGCCTCCAGTTACCTTCACACTCACAGAATGTTGATGACGTCAGCTGCAAAGTGACTATACTAATATAAACTGTACTATTGAAATGTATCAATATGTAGAACTCAGTGTGTGTTTTCAAATCAACTTTCCCCTTTAGCACACATTATTTATTTACACTGATGCTGAGCTGTTTGTATCGACCCGTTTCCATCTCGTTCTTTTCCGAGTTGAATGTTTCAGAGCAGTTGGACACCATTTTGTTGACTGTACGAGGGCTGGGATTTCTTTAGTCGACTTAAGCGCTCTTTTGATCCATTAGTCGATTAAATTATCAAAACTATTATGATCTGAGCGTGTGTCTGACTCAGAAGACTACAGCTTTATACAAAATCAACTATTCAAACAGAAAGGCACTAGGAAACACAAAGATAGATCTGAAATCATCATCTAACTCAGCGGTTCTTTACCTTTCTGAGTTTGGGGACCAACTTTTTCCATAAAAATTAACTTTGGGCCAAATCTCATATTAAATGTTTATATTTTGTGATTTCACAGTCCTACTTTGAGCCCTGTGGTTAAAGGGACAGTTCAGAATTTTGGACATAGGGCCTCGTTTCCTAGTGAGCCAGAGTGTTGGAGATGTGTGGAGATGCTTTTTGAAATATTCCATCCAGTCCTTGTATTTGCAGAGGTCGCTGGTGCTAGGCTAGTGCATGTCAATGGCCATAGTTAGCCTGCCTCTAAAAACAGTCTTACCCACTCCACAAAACACCCGAAACAAATCTATTATTACTCCAGACTGTCCATGTGAATGTCTGTGTTGACAGAATAAATTTAAAAGTAAAACCAACCTTGCATTTGAAGGATTTATGTCTGAGTAGCAAAGAGTTGTACTTCCTGATAGAAAGCTCGGCAGCGGCGGACTGATATATGAGAAAATAGTCCCTCAACATGCGACGATTCATGTGATGCAAGGTTAGTTTTATTTCAAACATTATTCTATCTGTTCTATCGCATGATGAAATAGATAGAATAATATTGAGGGACTATTTTCTCATATATCAGTCCGCCGCTGCCAAGCTTTCTATCAGGAAGTACAACTCACTGCTGCTGCTCAGACAGAAATCCTTCAAATGCAACGTTGGTTTTACTTCTAAAATTATTCTATCAACACAGACATTCACATGGACAGTTTGGTGTAATAATAGATTTGTTTCGGGTGTTTTATGGAGTGGGTAAGACTGTTTTTAGTGGGAGGAGAACTATGACCATTGACATGCACTAGTCTAGCACCAGTGACCTCTGCAAATACAAGGACTGGATGGAATATTTCAAAAAGTGTCTCCACACGTCTCCAACACTCTGACTCACTAGGAAACGAGACCCTATGTCCAAAATTCCAAACTGTCCCTTTAAGAATGACTGATCGAACAATACATCGCTCAATACATTCTCCTATCTGGTGTTGTCCTACATAAATCTTGGAATGTTTCACAGTGTGGCATTAAACCTTTCTATCTTCATGGAGACCAAACCAGATCAAGTTACAGGTCAGATCTGCGGAGAGGCGATGCCGCTCACAGTCAGAATGCCAGTTTTAAAGGTATTTTTGAGTTATAAAACCACCTGTAATTGTGTAATCTGTAAGGTAGAGGTGTTTAAAGTCACACTGTGGAACATTCCAGACAGAGCAATGACATATCTGTAGAAACGAGCAGGTGACAGACTCCCAAACCAAAAAAGTTACATGGTCCACCTTTAAATATAAATACAATAACGAATGAAATAATAGAAATCTTGGTCGACTGGGACATCGTCAACCAATTAATTAAACTAAAGGGCCAAAGACGTTTTTTTTTTTTTTCTAATGTTTTCTTTGCTTTCAGGCATGGTGATCCGCCCAAACACTATGGAGATCACGTTCACCAAGTCGGACGCCAGTAAATACAACGGCTACGTCTCACAGCTGGAGTCTTTCCTGCAGCGTAAGTGCACTTAGCTTCACTCTGGGGTGTGACGGGATAATGGGAAATACTGTTTATTGTTTGGAATTAGCAGTAATGTCATTATGTAAGTTATAGAATGTCCAAGGGGCTCAATAAAGGCACTGTACCCGATTTTATCCCGTGTACGAGCGCAAAATGTGTCTTGAATGTAATGACGTAAAAGTAATAAAACTGCACTTAAGTTAAAAAAAGAAAAGAAAAAAAGAGGTATCTGTATTTTACTTTCATTGAGACATCTGTACTTAACTTGAGTACATTTAAAGAAGATAATTTTTACTTTCACTTCACTACATTTGAGCGCAGGTATCTGTACTTTCTACTCCACTACGTTTTTAACAAGGCTGAAAAGTAAAAGTATTTCATATTTTTGTCTGAGATCTGCTGAAAAGTCTTGCGGTTTATTTTTCACACATTCCTAAATTTATAAGTTGTTTCTATCGGACAAAATTCTGTACAAATCTGTTTCAAAGTCACCACATTTGAAGCTGTATTAGACCTCAAAATCTGCTCAAAATACTATGTACTTACTTTGACGTACTTTGACAGAGCAGCGGGTGTGTACTGGCGGAGGTGAAACGGCGGTAGATCAGAGCGATGACATCTGAAATACAGGAGAATTAAAGTTACTCAAACATGCATGAATCACTCTGAATACTGGTTTTCACTTTGAGAGGCCACTATAACATGGTTAAAAGATCTGAAAAGTCGATTTTGCGGAATATATCTCCTTTAACAACAGTATTTAGACGATGGGACGAGGGGCGGGACAAGATACAACGACCAGAAAACGAGAAGAAACACGACACTGGAGCTACGAGACTAAGACAAGATGAGATTTTGACATTGTTATAAATAAATTGTGAGATCCAGTTCTGAATTTTAGCCTTACTGTTTTTGATTTACTGCATTTAATATTTCTGCTGGCTTTATAGCACTGCTCTTAAGGACTACAGCTTCTCAAAAAATGTAACTCGCCAGTACTTAACAACATCTTTTATCCAATCCAAACGTTAAAAAAATCTCACAAGATTGTTTGTCTCATCTGTAGTAGTGACCCAGCAGCTCACTGTTGTTCTAATTCTCTTTTCACGTAGTTTGGGTTAAAGCGTCGCTCTGATCATTGTGCAGAAGCAGCAAGGTGGCTGATTTTGGCACAAACATAAACATTTTGCGTCCTTCAGATGTTCAGATAAGAGAGGGTTCACACTTACTCACTCAAATGTGGTACTAAAATGAAGCCAAAGCTGTAAGTTAATTTAGACCAGATCAGGACCAAACCAAGTCTGGATGATGGAAAAAAATCAGAATGAGTCAAGTCAAGGTGTGTGGACTAAATATCAGAGGTGGGACTTCGACTCGAGTCAGACTTGAGTCACTATTTTTAGGACTTGAAACTTGACTTGATAAAATGGACAAAGACTTAGGACTGGACTTGGACTTGAAGGTCAGTGACTTGGGACTTGACTCGGACTTGAGAAGCACTTTTAAATTTGAATTATTTTTATTCTGACCGTAAAGATCTTGTCAAGACATTTAAAAAGGAAAAAAATTACTAAATTAATCTCTACAGTTCAGTTTCAACAGTTTTTTCTACTACTACTACTACTACTACGTCAGTTTTTCAGTTTTTCATTTTGTGTTTAAATAAATAATGTAAAAAACAGATAAGGTCCGTTTCCCGTTTCCGTGACTTAAACTGTGATGCCAGACTTTTGCACAGCATACGGACTGAACCAGGACTGAACCGTTTTCAGTCCTGGTCTGGTCCCAGTCTCAGTCTCAGTCTCGGTCTGGTCCCGGTCTCAGTCCCACTCTCTGGCCCTGTCTGATCCTAGTCTGGGCTCGGTTTGGGCCCAGTCTCGGTCCGGGTCTCAATCACGGCCTGGTCCTGGTCTGGTCCCAGTCTAAGTCCTGGTCTCAGTCCCGCTCTGGTTCCAGTCTGATCAGACCTGGTTCAGTCCTGGTTCAGTCTGTATGCGGCGCAAAATTCCTGCATCACGGTTTAAGTTACGGAAACGGGAAAATGGCTGTTATCTGTTTTTTCCATTATTCATTTAAACACAAAATCCAGAACTGAAAAAACAAATCGTTACCTGTTTTTTCATTTTCATTTTGGTTTTGGAGACAAATAATGAAGAAGACTGTTGTTTTTTTTTCTACATTTTCTTCTTTTTGGTTTTATATTGAAAAAAGAATGAGCAAATGATACATGGATTTCGCAACAGCTCACTTTTCCGATTCTCTTTTGACATACTTCTGGTTAATGCATCTCAGTGATCATTTTACAGAAGCCGCACAATTGCAAATTCTGCCAAAAACATAACATTTTTTGACATTTGACACTGAGCTCTACATACAGTACATACATGCTCAGAAATACTTGTGATTCTTGCATTACTTTAGCAGTTCATGTTTCAGCAGCATCCTCTCAAATACAAATGTTCCTGAATGTGTTTAAAATATGCACCGTGAACTGAATCGGACAATTATATATTTATTGAAACTGTTAAAATTTTGGTGTGACAATTCATTTACAACATTTGTGATCACACTGGCTGGATATATGAAGATTAGTATTAAGATTTAAAATGTTTTAGGACAATTTAAAGCTGCACCGTGCGACTTTTCAGGTACAGGGTTGGCTACCTGCTTGTCTCCATGGAGATGTTATGGAGATGCTTTGCCTGGAATGTTCCATGATATGACATTAAACATTTCTATTTCGCATTTATTCATCATGGGTGTTTCTGTTGTTCAAAAATACAATCTTTCTGTCAGTGAATAGGGGCGACTTTCCACAGATCTGAGCTGTAATGTAGTATATTGCTGTAACCTGCTCACCTCTCTCTTGATAAATCTGTATTATGGAACATTCTAGAGTAGACAAAACATGGAGACAAGCCGCTTCACTAGAAATGTTACTTTGTGCACCTTTTTTTCCCCACAAATTTCACATATTGAAACATACAAAACATTATACAAAAAGAAAAAAATAATAAAAATAAAAAATACATTAAAAATACAGACATTAAGACCCTCCCCCAACCGAAAACACACACTTCACGCAGTTTGAATTATGATTTCTACATATCAAAATTCTTTACAATGCGCAAAAATGGCATCCGAATGTCTTTAAAGTCCTCGAGTTTTCCTTTAAATATGGAGCTCAATTTCTTTGCTTTGATTGCTGGACATTCATTTAATCCACTGGTTTACTCTGGCCCTCTCCATTTCCTTCCAGTTGAGAGCAATAACATGTTTGGTCTGCAATAAACCAAAAATTACAAGCTGCTTTCTATTTAAATGAACACTCGAGTTTACAATCTAATGGCATCTCACGCTCAATTCAATCTGAAATTACAGTAGTGACCTCCTTCCGAAACAGTTGTATTTTTTCACACTGCCACATACAGTGAAAAAGTCCCCTTTTCCCTGCCACGCTTTACACACTCATCTGGAATATTTGGGTTAAAATGGTGAAGTTTTACAGGTGTAATATAAGTCTTAAACAACCATTTGTACTGCAGCAACATGAATCTGGTGTTGAGAGTTGGTTTTTGTGCCTGTAAACAGGATTTATTCCAACTACATGCAGCTTTAATACTAAATGTTATAAGCTACAGTATTTTGCAGCTGACCAACCACTAAATCTGAGATCATTTTACTTTTTTAAATAGATAAATGTTAGTGGAAAGATGTAGTGGGCAAATGTATCAGATAATGCAAAGTAAAGAACTCATTTATTTATAAAAGTAAATTCTTTCTAGTGAGTTCTTGAAGGGGAAAATCGTAGTGTTGCAACAATAAAGTGCATGAGCAGCTGCAAAACAATGAGAAGTATCAAAATATTAATTTAAATCAAGATGAAAAATAAACAAAATGAAACAAACACATTTTAAAGCAGTAAGATAAAAACTGGGGCTGCAAGATGAATTGCAATCATGATTGACAGGTGGATTAGCCAATCAGAGTCGCGCATGGTCCGTCAGAATCAAAACAAATATGGCTGCTTACTAGGGAAAAAGAAATGTCATTTTGTTTGTAAATGATATGTGATGAATGAGCTCCTTCATTTCATATGTATCACTGAACAAAAAATAAATAAATCTGTTTGGACGATCACGTTTATTTGAACCGAGAGATATTATTGTGGATATGTGAGGCAGTGGAAAGCTCTAGATGAGGATAAAAAATGACCGCAACATTTAGCAAAAGTGTTTGAGAGGACAGAGACTCTGGGTTTTCTGCTTCTGAATGCAGGACTTGGGCATGAATCTGCTGTGTGGAGATAAAACACACAGATTGTTCTTGCTGAGCAGAGAGAGTCTCATGAAAAACTGTGCACTGCACTCTGTGTGAAAGTGCCTGTTCACAATGGTCCTCGTTCATCAAACATACGCACACTGCACCGTTAACATAAAACAACACGAACAATTAATACTGGTCCAGTACGAGGCAGCTTACAGGAGTTTGGAACTACTCACTCACACTAAACCTCAGTCTGTCTTGTTTTACATCTTAAATTCATTGTATAACTTAACACCACAACCAGCAGAGGGCGCTAGTACTGCTATCACACTGAGGAGTGAAGCAGTTCAGACAAGTCTACAAACAATCGCTGCTAGATGCACAAAGTTCGGATGTCACTATATGGCTGGGATCACAGTTACTCAAAATTGAAAATAAAATGGTGCAATGTCTAGTAGAGGAATGAATAACTGTCAGATGGATGTGTTTAATGTAACACCAAGGAACATTCCAGGCAAAGCAATAACATCTCCACCAGAAAAGTTGCATAGTGCACCTTTAACTTCTGACATCTGGATCATGCAGTGAGCAGTGGGGAAATTGAAAGTTTTTTCTTCCAAATAAATCGAATTTAACTTTTTTTTTTTTTTTGAAAACATGATGATGATTTTAGAACCCAACATATAAAGTATCACTCACTTGATTGTCAAAATAAATGCAACTAAGAACAAGGATGTGGGAGGGTATAGAGCAAACATGTCAAACTCAGGTCCGGGGGCCAAATTTGGTCCACGATACAATAATATTTGGCCCTTGAGATCATATCAAATCATATCATATAGATCATATTATTAGTGATGGGCGAATGGAGCCTCGTGAAACACTGACACCTCAGTCGCAACATTGTCTCAAATGGTTGGACGTGTCTGAGGCCTCGGACAAACACTGACCTCTAGTGGACAAATTTAACCCTTGGCACGCAGGTGTCTCAGCATCGAAGTATTGTTAGTGTAAGACAATACTTGTGTGCAGAGCAAACACCGTACCGAACACCAACAATAATAATGATGATTTAAAATAATATGTAAAGAGCAACATAAATAACATGCTGTAAATAAGAAAATAGGTGGTACCTTGTTTGGTGGAATTAGATCAGAGTGATCCCAAACCATGGATCACTTTTTTCCACTTGTAGATGCCATCGAAAATGAAACAAATGCCAAAAGTCACCAAAATCACCACTAACGTCACACAATACTCCTCACTACCCAACATTTTTAAGAAATATTGGTGCATCTTTTATACTGTAGCAGTTTAGCGCTTGTCAAACCACGAAAGTGCGCTGAACACTCTGAACCAATCGCAGAGCGGAACATTCACTGAGCCAATGAAGCGCTTCGATACACTGAAGCGACTGACACGCAGAGCGAAGCAGTAGGGGGAGGGGCCGACACTTCCACACTTTGGTCACGTGAGCGGCTGCTGCGAGACGATTAGTTTCAGAAAGAAAGAGACGTGCTCCGTCTCGTTTGCCCATCACTACATATTATGTATTAGAGCTGCTCGTCGGCTACAGATAGGCTATAGAGACGTTATTTATTTAAAATGTTGTTATTATTTTATATTCTGCGTGTTCTGATTCAATGTTTAACCAAAACTATTATTAAACATTTATTTTAATAAGAAAAGGTTTAACATTATCAAAGAAGAGAAAACATGCAGATGTTGTTGAAATTTTACAATATTTAGTTTGACCCACGACTTAGTCCCAGTTTTTAATTTTGGCCTCTGTGAATTTGAGTTTGACACCCCTGGTTTAGTGTGTAGATGAAAGGATGTTTTTGTGAATACTGAAGCCTCAGATGTAAGACAGTCCAGGGTTTACTCAAACATGAATCAGTCAAAGTGTTGGTTTGATTAATCTGATTGTTGTGGATCTCTTGTTTAGGGTACAATGACACTCTCCAGGAGCAGAACGTGCAGGACTGTGTCACAGGTCAGTACTTCCTCCAGGACGACGTGGAGGAGAAGAAGGTCTGCAGCTTCAAGAGGGGCTCACTGAAGGCCTGCTCCGGACTCTCCGACACCAGCTTTGGATACTCCGACGGCCAGCCCTGCGTCCTGCTCAAACTCAACAGGGTAAACACAAAAGAGCTCAAATTCCTCCATGTTTGAGTCAATTAGGCGTCTCTCCCAGGCCCTGTATGAGCTCTCCTTACAGTTAGCAATACAATCCCATCCAAACAACTTCACAAATCTGATGCAATGTGTAGTAGTTTCATCAGCTGTGTGCATCCTGGTTGTAACGTGATAGTGATTTAGTGTGGAGAGCAAAAGGAGGGGGACTCAGAGCGGTAAAAAATTAAAGTGAAGCTGATTAAACATGTTTGCACGTTGTTTTTGGTGAATATAGCATTTTCAAAACAACAAACGGTAACACGGTGATCTAAATATGTGACGTGTTACAGTTAATATGCCATAGAAGTATAATACTATAGTAGTGTGACACCTCTTTAACAGAACTGACCTGAAAGGCAAAGATAGTAAACTGATGAAAACAGAATGTAGAACGGACGAGCTGTTCAGACAAGAGCTGTTCCTGTTTTTTTTTTACTTTAGTTTATTAAGATCAGCAGTGTAAATAAACATTTAGAACAATCCTTGTCAAAGAGTTATTACATTAGTTATTATTAAGGTGTCCATCTTTCTAAAACTAAGTAAACTAAGTAACTACATTGTTTTAGTCCAGGGGTCTCCAACCTTTTTCCTCCAGTGAGCTACTTTTACAAAACAAAAATGCCAGAGAGCTGCTCATTTTAGCGGCCACAAGAAACTCAGAGGATTATAATAGATAGATGTCTATAAAACAAGGGTACTGAATATTTTTTCTTGGATGAGCTAGACCTTTACAACACAAAAAGTTCATAGAGCTACTCATTTTAGCGATCACAAGAAATAAAGTACTGTATACATAAGAGACATAGCAAAACCTATATGTAGTACAGTTTGATAAAACAACATAAACCATTATTTGTACAGAAAAGACAAAAGTGTGGCTGTTTGCTGCAGGTGTTCCAGTCAGTGGGAGCAGGTAGAGGGTGCTCTTGGAAAAAGGATCAAAACTTAAAACACAATGGACTCCAGGCATTCCAAAGAAGTACAAATCACATGAGGAAAAATACAGTTAAAAGGCCTTTATTTAAATGGCTAAAGCCAACATGTTTCGACCAACCTGCTCTTCATCAGGGTTTAGATAAAAAACAGAACATGGGTGTGGTCTTTAAGTAAAACACACCAACCTAGAAGAGACTGGAGTAGATTAGAGGCAGACAAAGCAGGTGTAAGAATGAAGAAAATAAATACATAAAAAATAAGAACACTAATAAAAATAACAACAACAACAATCATCACTAAGCCATTATTTATTTATTTATTATTTATTTATGAGTGCACAAAGTCAGGCATCAAAATGATAGATTTATAATAATAATAACAGGCATTTAATTCATCAAGTTTTAGTTATTAACAGGGTATCCCCAGGTTTGACTACCTCAAATTTAAGACTTTTTAAAGACTTTTTTAAGATCACTTAAATGAAAATTAAGACCAACATCGAAGCCATTATGCGGGTGAAAAACACCAGATCCAGTTCTAATAATGACCAACCAACCACTATATCTAGAATCTAAGAGCCACTGTGGATTAAACCGACACTTCCCCATGATCCATCCAACGTCTTCCTCCATTCTACTGATTGTTTATTCATTGCCGCCGGCGCCAGAAACCAAAGTACTGTTTGCACATACTCCAAATTAGACGTTCATTCACGTTACATGATTTCACGTTGTTGTTGTTGTTTTTTTCCTCCCTCCTTTGAGCATTGCACTGCGGCCTGGTTGAGTTAAAAAAAAAATAGCCTGAAAAATGTTAAGACCTTTGTGAAAAAAATAAGACTTGGACAACATAATTAAAGACTTTTTAAGACCTTAATTTAGGAACATGAAATTTAAGACCTTTTAAAGACTTTTAAGACTGCAAACCTCTGTTCAAACGTTTCCCTTCCCAACGGAATTGAAAAATAGTGAAAGGTGAAGGCGATGGGCAGGATTGATACTGATACTTTGAACATAGGTTTGCAGTCACACACATCTGATTCCCTTTTGCATTTATGGAGTTCGCAAACTTCTGAAGCCCATTTCTCGAGTCGTTTTCCGCTGTTAGGATCCAACAACCACACAATTACAATGTCCAAATCCCAAAACTAAAATATGACAATATCAGAACCAGAAAAAAGTGATATGGTTCAAAAGACTTGAAAAGATCGAATTTGACAATAGACGCATCCCACTGGGAAAATAAACGTGGCGGGTTGACAGTCATTTTTGCACAATGACCAGAGGTCCGATATTCGTGATGCATGTATTAAAAGACAAATCGCAAACTAATTTATTATTTTGTGCAGAAATTGATCAGCTGTATTCCTGTTTGAACTAAAAACAAACCACATTGCCTTTTCATTCTAAGTACCTGAATTTCCATTGGGATTAATAAAGTATATCTATGCCATCTAATGTTTTTCCTCATGTGTTCACAGATCATTGGCCTGATGCCTCGTGGGGATCCCTACATCAACTGCACAGTGAAGGTGAACCGTCCCTGTCCGTCCTGTCCGTCCGTCTGTGTCTTTGCAAACATTGCAATTTATGATTTTTGTTAAAGGTCCTATATTATGCAAAAAAAAAAGACTCTTGTGAGATTTAAGCCATTTTATAATGTTGTTCCCTCCTCAAAAACAGACCTGGACTTGTTTTGTTTCATTCACACATGGTCAATTTGAGGTCTGAAATTATCTAGATTCTAATGAGGTTATACGGAGTTTAAAAACACAGTGGAGCACTTCAGTCCGTGTATCATTCGTTCATTTGTTTTTCAATATCAAACCAAAAATAAAAAAACGGGAAAAAAAACTGTCTCCAAAACCAAAATGAAAAAAATGAATGACAGCAATTTCCTGTTTCTGTGACTTACACTGTGATTTCGGACTTTTGCGCCGCATACGAACCAGGACTGAACCAGACCAGGACCAGACCAGGACCAGACCAGACCAGACCAGAACCAGACCAGAACCAGACCGGAACCAGACCGGGACTGAGACCAGGACTTAGCCCAGGACCAGGACCAGGACTGAGACCGGGACTGAGACTGGGATCAGACCAGGACTGAGACCAGGACTGAGACCAGGACTGAGACCGAGAACAGGACCAGGACTGAGACCAGGACTGAGACTGGGAACAGGACCAGGACTGAGACCGGGACCAGACCAGGATCAGGTCGTAATTGAGACCGGGACTGAGACCGGGACCAGTCCGGGACCAGACTGGGACTAAGCCCGCGACCAGACCAGGACTGAAAACGGTTTAGTCCTGGTTCAGTCCTGGTTTTCTGGTTCAGTCTGTTTGCAGCACAAAAGTCCGGCATCTCAGTTTAAGTCACGAAAACAGGAAACAGTCGTTAACCATTTTTTCCATTCTTCAATTAAACACAAAATTGAAAACCGAAAAAACAAATTATTATCTGTTTTTTCATTTTGTTTTTAGAGACAAATAATGAAGAAAACTGTTTTTTTTTTCTTTTCGTTTTCTTATTTTTGGTTTTATTTTGAAAAACAAATGAAGAAATGACACATGGATTCACTTCCTGTATGTTCACAAAGTGGAACAGGGTGTTTTCAGCCTAAATGTGCAGGTTTGTGAGTTAAACATGTTTGAATGGAACAAAACCCAACTCCGGGTTTGTTTGAGATGAGGAAAAAGTTAATAACCAATCAGAAAACCGCGTCATATGGGCCCTTTAAACTTTTAACATTGTCTTATGTTTTTATGTGTCAGTCCCAGTCACATGTTTCTTTTGGTTTTCTTCCTGCATGCGTCACCGATGGGTTTAGGGTAAGAGTGTGAAGTGGATAAAGTAATGGTTTAATTTGGTGAAATGTAAAACCACAGACAGTAAAGTAAGTAAGTGCATAATACCCCAAAGATTAAAAGCTATTAAAAGCTATTAGGCTAATAACTGTCAGGCTAGCAGTTATTAGCAACAATTGTTTTTGGTTAGCGTTGGCAAGCAGTGCAGTGTGTGGATTCTGCAGAGGTGGGGAGCAGGCCAAGGTGACCAGACATCTCTGTTTACCCAGGACAGTCCCAGTGTTGAGCCCTGTGTCCCCTGTCCCAGCACATTTATCCAAAACCACTGATTTGTTCCAGTTTTTTACAAGAAATGTCCCAGATGTCTCTATTTTGGACCAAATTCATCCCTGCCAAGAGTAAAGAGAGACATAAATTGTCATTTGTTTAAATAAAATACAAAAAAATCTGCTTAAAATTACTACAACACGAAGAAAATGTGACTATACATGACTCACATGTTGGTCATGAATGGTCTCTGCAGAACAATTTTCAATTTTTAATTACACATTCGTTTCACAGTTTCAGTATTACAAACACCAAAAAACGGGGTGTCCCAGTTTTTTTTATTTTGAAGTCACCTTATTTTGAGGTCACCCTATAATAAGGCTACTCATACTTTTACTCATGCATAAGTAATATTTTCTTTGAAGTAACAGTAAGTACCAGAAGTGGGGACTTGCGAGTAGTGACTTGGATTCGAGTCAGACTTGAGTCACTATATTTTTAGGACTTGACTATTTTTAGGCCTGTGACTTGGGAAGACTTGCTGCTTCTCCTAGAAAATAGATGTTTTAGAAAATATTTTTCTCTTTACAGCTGATACAATTAATTTTAAAGGAACACACTGGAACATGTCCCTCCCACATCTCTGTTTGTTACTATGGCAACAGTAACTGAGGTACAGTGATGTGGAATCCTCGAATGTATTACAGTAATGTACAGTACAATACAGTACAATACTGTAAAACAGAGGGAACGACAGAGAACTACAATGACAAAAACAGTTATTTAACACTCTTAAATCTGAATTCTTTCTGTTCTGACCATAATAATTCAAACTTTTCTCAAGACGTTTAAAAAGGAAAAATTTGCATTTATTATTTATTTATTAACACTCATATATAATTATACCATGGCTTTTTTAAGTACAATTTAGTTTAAAATTCATATAAATTGCAAAAATCTGAACTATATTTGGTACTTTTCTGGTTTAAAGACTTGAAATGACTTGAAGCTCAAAGCAGACGACTTGGACTTGACTTTGACATATGGACCAGTGTCTCGAGACTCAACTTGGACTTGTCTGTATTTGACTTGGGACTTGACTCGGTCTTGAGGTCAAAGACTTAAAACTTACATGAGACCTGCAAAACAATGACTTGGTCCCAGCTCTGGCAAATACTCTTACTTGAGTTAAGCTTTAGTTACTCTTCTCACTGTGAATAAGTCTACAAATGACAAAAGCTTTATGTTGACAATATTTAACAATTTGAACATTTCTTGCACTACTCCTTCAGATATGCTTTTGTTTCTTATTTTTATGCATTATTTAATGTTTTGTTCTTAGTATTAAATCAATTTTAGACAATATCAGTAAATCAGATGTTACGTCCTGACAGTTACTCTTACTTGAACAATTTGTTGGACCTCTACTTTGTATTTGTACTTGAGTAATATTATTTTGAAGTTACATTACTTTTTGGCTACTCTACCCACCTATGTGTAGAACCCCACTGGACACTAGGGGGCCCCATAGATGAACATCTGAGAAAATAACTGTACCTTGACTTGGAGCTCAACAGTCGCTGATTGGTTCCGGAAGTAGATTTCCCATTCATTTTCCCCACTGACTTTCTGAAACAGTGAAACAATAAAAATTTGTAAAGCTGGCGTTAATCAGCAAAGTGGTAACCAGTGACGACAAGATGTATAACTTTATTTAAAATCTATTTCACAAGTTTCTGAAACCTAGAAACTGCTATTATACAAAAAAGTTAAATGTGCTTTTTGGACTTAAAATAACAACAGCATTTATGAACATTACCACATTAGTTACCACATAGCCTCATTCATGCCTTAAAACTCATTATATCTGAAATTTTCAAAAAAAAAAAAAAGGAAAAATATACTTCCAAAGAGTGAGTGGGACTGGTGAGCTCTGTTATTAATAAAATTTTGCTTATAATTGAATGATAAAGTGGTATTTATGCAACAACTTACAAGACAGTTACTAATTCTCTTTCTATTTTTAATCATTTTGGTAATTTGGCAAAAGTCGGGGCACCTAAACTATTTTGTACACAAGGACCCCAAAAATAAAGAAAGGCCCTTCACATTTTTCAGTATATCATTGATGGGTGTAACTGTTGCCCCTCCTGTAATCGAGAGGGGTGTGAAGGTAAACCCTGGAAAAGGAATAAAAGGGACAGATGATTTGTCTTTCGCATCTCAGGACTGCAGGGTTTATTCTGCCATAACAAATTATTTCTAATACATGTTGCTACACAAACTCAATTATACAGCATTTCTATTACATCTTACTTGCAAAACTTATTGATACATGTTTAACATTTTACATTTATATGTTCATTAACAACCAAACAAAACTGTACCATTTAAATCGAATTAATTACTAATTATGTAACTAACTTAGCTGCAACAACTTTAACATGGCGACCAGCTCGTGACATCATCAATAGACTATTATCACGCTGATACATAGTACTTCCGCATTCAGTGATCTTTGTGCACGCCTACTTCCTGTGAATTGTTGCTCTGGTGATTGAACTCATGATGGACGAACCGAAGTTGTTTACATATACTACATCCCTTAAAAATTTACCGAAAATATCCTTTTCCGACGTACATCATCTCATTGATCAACATTCAATCACAGCCCGCTCCAAAGTGGACAATGGACACAGTTTATTTTTTTTAAATTTCACCTACGACTTTGAAGGTGAGTGACTACTAGCTAACAGTTGCCGTTCTGACATACCATCACTCCGATATTGACGTGTTATTGTCAGAGTAGCGGCATTTCCATTTTTTATCAAACATCCCTGCACGCCGACATTTCTTTTTCGATTGGTCGAAGTGGCAGAATCCTATTGTTGAAGGCACCACTGTGCGTAAAGGTCCTGGTTCTGCAAGTGCAGCCGAGCAGCGCGGCTACAAGGGACAGATGTGTAAGAATTTGGAACTTTTATGAATGAAGAGGTTACGGGGCGTTACCTGACACTGCAGATGGAGGCGCTCGACGACGCGCATTTGGCTCAAGGTGCAATGATACGGCCAAGCAGAGAAACTACAAAAAACTGAATTGTGTGACAGTTTGGACATTTTTGCGAATGGACAGGAGCAGGAGACATTCATTACCTGTCACTAAAGACTAGGGCGCACAAGAACACGCTGTGAAGCTCGGTGTGTGGCGAGAGAGAAGCGGTGCCGGGCTCGCAGTCAGATAGAGGCACTAAAAAGATCAGTGATTTAGGAATCTGGATAGTTTCATGAATAAGGGCTAAAATATTAGAATAATACCTGGTCATAGAGGACAGAGCGGCTTACACAGGGACCCAGAAATGCGTCGGTCCCTTATAAACTCATAAAAGTTTATAAAGAGGCGGCTGCAAAGCTCATTCTCCTCGTGTGCGCACTTAAAGATGCGGACTTTTACGCACTCGTTAACCTGGCACTTCTAATGGCGCTCTAATGGCACGGAGCTTTACGCCAAATACCCTCCAATACGGGATGGCGGTTCTCTCTCTCGTTCAAGATTCGTCCTGGTTTAGTCCTGGTTCATTGGTGTCGGAATGGGGGCATGTCGGGGTGGAGGGTTGTCGAAATGACGGTATGACAGAGTGGGGGTCTGTTGGAGTGACGGTATGTAGGGACAGGGGTTGCCTATGCTTTAGAACAGGTAGGGTAGCTTATGCTAACCTCAGTTTGGTGTATGGATATAAGGCGTTTACCCAACATACCCAACAAAAGCAAGAGTATTCATTTTTAATTGAGGCTAAGTAAATTCACCCATGTCATTTGTATTCTGAGAGGAAGAAAGTTCGCCTCTCAGTTTCAGTCAGCTAACATCGGCATACAAGTGTCTCTTTTGCTAGCACGTAAAGGAGAAAAAAGTCTGCTTCAGCCAGGCTTTTCGTTTCGTTTAGGACTTCAATGGACTTCACGATGCTATGAGAAAATAAAAAAGACAGAGCGAGAACACCTGTTTGAACTGGACTTTATTCCTCCTTTTTGTGTCTATGTTACATTTGTACTGCTCCCGCTGTGGAGCTTTAACTGGTCCCAGTAACTTCTATTTCCAATTATAAAGCTATTACAAAGTATTTACAAAGATATGCATTGATCATGTTGATTAATTCATAATTTGAAAAGAGCAGTGACATCTAGCCGCCGTTTGAACCATTGTTGTTGTTGCGCCGGAAGTGGAAGTGCACAAACTCGACAAACCCCGCCCACAAAACCCAGAAGCGTGATAATGGCCCATTACACTGGCGCTGCACTTGCACATGAACTGCAACTTTAACATGTACACTCTGTGCTGAAGCTTTACAAAAAGTACAAAGTAAAAGCTTAGAAAAGTTTATGAACAGCTCACCCCGTGTCTAATAATGAACTCAAAACACACCCGCGCTGCATCTTTACAACTGTGCTAGCCCATTCTATGCTAGCTCTCGCTTCAAAATGCGTTTTACACACAACTTCGCCTCAATCAGTGTTCACATTTACACACATACATATTAGCGGTTTTATCTCAACACTGTACTGTTTGGGTGTGACACAAATTACTTTTTACCAACCTGGAAAAGGAATACAAAGGACAGATGATTTGTCTTTCGCATCTCAGGACTGCAGGGTTTATTCTGCAGCGCTGTCCCTTGGATTCCTAACTCCTTTTACCGGTGCGCCCCCTAGCGGCACTCCTCAGACGATATCATATTAAAAAAAATTAATAAATAATAGAGGGTGTCTGTTTTTTAATTACTGACATTAACATAGGGAATGCATTACTTCATTTTAGCTGTTTTAGCCCTTTTAACACATTACTATGAGCCTTATATAACATTTCATAACTTAAATCATTGTATGTAATCTGATTATGGTATGTTAGCTGTGGTACTGTCTGTGGTGTTTGCGTGGCTGTGCTGGTTTGTGGAGAGGCTTGACATTTAAAGCATTTGAATAGGCCATTCTTTTGAGTACAGTCACCTCCATTCTGTGTGACATTTACAGGCGGCTCTTTGGGTGCTCCTGACGCGCTCTCCTCCCATGTGTCAGTCCTCTCTCTGGATTCTAATAACATTTAATGCTGTAAATGTGAACAGACAGAGGCTCGGGGAGCACTGCTAAATACACCTGTACTTCCTTCTCCTCTGCAGAAAGACTACCCAGTGCAGATGGCGTACTACCCCGATGAGGGCCGCATCGATAAGAAGTATTTCCCCTACTACGGCAAGAAGGCCCATGTAAGTATAGTAAAGAACATTTTCATCTGAAAAATCATTATAAAATATATTTTTATTCTGTAAGTACAGTAATATAGTAGTATAAACTATAGATCCAGACAATACTGATGCTGGCAAAAGAGATATTTATACTGCTGTTCTCACAATATGATTAATGCTATTAGATTCTATTTCCCTTTTTATTTTACAATTTAAGCACATTACTTTTAGCAGTGTTTCCTAAAGTGGGGTCTAGGGCCGTCAGAGGGATGTATCTTTGTATCTTTGTAAAAGATACAAAGAACTAGTTTTGATAACTGATGATAGTATTTATTTTCTATCGACTTAAAGAAGATGACACGCATTTGGAACATGACATGTAAACGTGTAAGGCTGTAAACGCAGCCTGATGAGAGCTGACGGTGCCTGTGTCTGCAGGAGAACTACGTGCAGCCCCTGGTGGCGGTCAAGCTGCTGTTGGGGAAGGAGGATCTGAATAAGGAGCACTCTGTGGAGTGCCGGGTAGAGGGCACTGACCTGCGCAACAACGATGAGCGAGACAAGTGGCTGGGGCGCGTCAGCTTCAAAGTGAAGGTGATGGAGTAAAGGCCGCTGAGCGCGGGGATGCAAAGCAGAGGCTGCCAATGTTGCTCTAAAGCTACGAAATCTGAAAGGGAGAGTCACATCACGTCAGCGAGGCAGCATTCTGCCAAAGGATGCGTTCAATGGGCTTCACCGCCGTTTGGAAAGCTCTTCGAATGTTGCTTTGATGACTTTTATGACCTTTCTTTCCTTCTGCTGACCTCCTTCAAGATCCCAACGAACAAGATACAGGCTTTGCACCTGATCCGTCATCTCCCCATCCACGCTCCACCATCCCTCATCGCAAACCCACGTGTTGCACTGCCCAATCTTATCATTTAGCCTCATCTGAGAGCCATTATGAACAAGCCATCATACTTCTAGCTTACTTCTCATTTGTTATGGTTGTGTTTCCATAAAATACCATTTCAATTTTTGAAATATCGTAAAAAGACAAATTTGTGACTGGTTTCTGATTGCTGATGGAAGGCTGAGGTGGATTTTGCAGTAGTTTGCGGAATAGCTTCTATTATTTTGAATGAGATGTTCTTCTTCTTCTGTGTGATTCCATAAGTGTGTTTTGACAGATAGTGGAAACTGCTTGTGATGTGAGATTCGAGTTTGCTCCGTCATGGTTTTGAATGCAAATTATTATCATTCCAATAATAACTTCTTGCTTAACTGCCAATACGCAAAGGAAGCCGTGAATCATGTTTGGAGAAGGCAAAGGTAAACTCTTCTGCAAGGCTGTGTGAGTATTTTTGGCTAACAGTTAAATAGCAATGTATCTTAATGTGTCTGTTAGCTTTGTGTGTGATGTCTTGCTATTGGTTGGAAGTAAAACTGTTGTAAACAAAAAAAAACAAAAATCTGACGTTTACGGAACCAGTCACAAATTTGCCTCGCGATATTCCAAAATGATCGTAAATCCCTTTATGGAAACACTGGTATTTCCGAAGTGTTGTCGCCATCTCCCATTACAGTGTGAATGCTGATCTGAATTATGGCGGAGAATGCAGAGAATTTTTATCTTGCTGTATAGTATTTGAGAAAGAATAGCTTTCCATGTACCATTTTCACTTCAGAGACTTCATAGAAAACATATGTTGATAATCAAGTATAGCCACTGTATCCTTGTATATGAAATGCCAATTACAAAGTCCCTTTCTACGTATAAATAAAGAAATACATTGTGAAACTTACATATTTAGGGAACTCTAGATAGATTTATGTGCTGTGGTGCGGCCATGGCCCAGTCTTGTGCTGTCTGTTTGTCTGTCTGTTTGCATGTTGTCCGTCAATTGTCTTCCCGTCTACACACCTCCACTGCAATAGACGAGTGTTAAGGACTCCAACTGTCAGGGCTCCCACGCAGGCTCAGCTCCGGGGCCGTAGACGGGGACGGGGGTGGGAGGGGGGGACAAAAGGGTCTGTTGTCCCGGGCCCTAGGGTTTTAGAGGCCCAGAATTGGACCCTCTACCTATTAATTCATATTAGAGGGGGGGCCCGTGCATGGCTTCTTGCCCCGGGGCCCTCCAAATTTCTGTCGACGGGCCTGCTCAACACAACCTCACCACAACCTCACCGCGCCGGAACCAAGAGACCGGAAATATGTACAGCTTTGTGTTCAAATACTTCATGGAATGGGTAACAGTTTCATTATAATTTTATTTTATTTTTTGGAAGCTTGTTTTTTTTTTTGCAATTTCATCTTTTGTCATTTAAAGATTGCACTATGTAACTTTTTGGTTTTGGGTCCATCAGCTGCTTTTTTTCTATGGATATATGGTCAGTTGCTCTGTCTGAAATGTTCCACAGTGTTACGTTAAACAGCTCTACCTTATGTATGAAATTACAGGGGGTTTCTCTCCACAGATCTGACCTGTAAGTTGTCTGGTTTGGGTTCCATGACGATAGAAAGCTTTAATACTATCCTGCGAAAAATTCCAGACAAAGCAATTACATCTCCATGGAACGTATTTGAAGGACCTTCCTCCAAAAAAGCTACACAATGCGCCTTTAAAATGTTTGTGCACTGTTAAAGCTACCATCTGCGTTTTTATTCGATTCTTTTTTTCACCAGTAGATGGCGGATGTGAAAGCTGCCCCCCTCCCCTCCCCCGCCCACTGTGCTCTTTGGTCTTCTTCTGGGCCAGAGCGAAACACTACTGAACAGAAGTAACACAGATAAGCATTTAGTGGTGAGACGTGAGAAAACAACAGGGACGGGTCAGCCAGTTTAGTTCCAGATGGTAGCTTTAAAATGTAATATGTTGGAAATAGACAAACATACTAATCAAAGCTAAAACTGTTATCATTTGAGCAGGTATCATTACTCAAAAATTTGCATTGATAGGACAGAAATGAACCTTTCCTGAATGTTTTTAGAATGATTTTAACAAGTATAAGAGCACATAGACTAGTATACACCCATGGACCACTGAGGGATCACACACATATAAGACCACGTGATAATGTCAAAAACACATTCTACAGAGTGTTTTGATTATCATCGTGGTATCAGAATCGAGTATCGAGTCTATTCCTTAGCACAGAAATCGAGGATATTAGAGGAGTTGAGCGAATAGCAACATAATCCTGCATATTACATCTTTAAAGGGACAGTTCGGAATTTTGGACATAGGACCTCATTTCCTAGAGTGTTGGAGACGTGTGGAGACATTTTTTTAAAATATTCCATCCAGTCCTTTTATTTGCAGAGGTCACTGGTGCTAGGCTAGTGCATGTCAATGGCCATAGTTAGCCTAAAACTAAAAACTTACCACTCCACAAAACACCCGAAGCAAAACTATTATTACTCCAGACTGTTCATGCGAATGTCTGTGTTGATGGAATCATTTTACAAGTAGAACCAATTTTGCATTTGAAGGCGTTTATGTCTGAGCAGCAGTGAGTTGTACTTCCTGATAGAAAGCTCGGCAGTGGTGGACTGATATATGAGAAAATAGTCCCTCAACATGCGACGATTCATCCGATACAAGGTTAGTTTTATTTCACATATTATTCTATCAACACAGACATTTACATGGACAGTCTGGTGTAATAATAGATTTGTTTCAGGTGTTTTGTGGAGTGGGTATAGTTAGTATAGTTTTACGCAAACTATGGCCATTGACATGCACTAGCCTAGCACCAGTGACCTCTGTAAATACAAGGACTGGATGGAATATTTCAAAAAGCGTCTCCACACGTCTCCAACACTCTGGCTCACTAGGAAATGAGGCCCTATGTCCAAAATTCTGAACTGTCCTTTAAATCAACAGTGCCACGTGACAATAATCATCTTAAATACTTGCTTTCCATACTTTGACTACATATTTTAAAATGTTTAATATATACAGTATTTTATGTATATTCAGAGTTCTCAGCTGGTTGTTGGGACCTCAAAGTGGATGTGAATACTGATTATTAGCGTGTAATAGACAATTGTGAAATATAGTTTAGATATTATATTTCTATATCGTGTGAGAGACTTAGTTTTTTGAGTGTGTATCAAAACTGAAGACACTGGAAACCCCAAGCTGACACCAGTTGAGAACGAACGCTGTAAACCGCCGCCTTTTTTTCCATTCGCGATCACAAACGGCTCACGCGGAGTTCATTTCAGTCCGACTGATCGAGGAAATGGCGTTCACTCTTACCATTACAGCATCGGGTCGTCCCATTTGAGAAGGTGTGGGAGCCCTGACCTCCACCTGCTGCTGCTGTGGCCTGGTGGTGCTTGTGGACTGAGGAAGCATAGGCTCAGGAGGCTATACAAAAACTGGCTTTGAGGCGTAGAGGCATTGCAAAAAGGCAAAAGAAAACCCAATGTAACTATGTACTGTATATCTATGTGTTCTGTATCTATCTCGGTCTCAAAGATTGTCTGTTAGTTTCTCTTCTTCAGCCTGTTGATCTGATTGTCTGCCGAGCTCTATCTACTCTACTCGATGTATATATATATAAACACTATCTACCATATTTACTGAATTCACACTGTATTTTTGTCACAACACACAATGTCTGTGCACTGTAAAGAAATAATTTAAGGAAAGATTTACAGGAAATGATCTTATTCAAAGCTATGTTTACACAGTCTTAAAAAGGAACCCACATTTGAAAGAACAACTTGTAACATCTCTTCAGGGTGCCTTAAGACCTGATGAAATAAATTGTGGAATAAAAGTGATTTTGAAGAAAAAATGGCCACCTTTTCAATCATTGGATTTGACTGAAAATTAGTGGATAAATTATAAATAACTGTCTTTAATAACAACATGAAAACTATGGCTGTAACTATTAGCCCAATGGAAAAGTCAAGTAGATAAACAAAAAATGTAGGAATCAAATAAATAGGCTTTGTACGTGCTCAGAGTTTAGGCCATTGTAACAGCTGGTGAACCTCAAAACTTTTCCAACTAGTGTATTAGTGGGTCTTTTTAATATTTTTTTATGAAGAACATTTTTATCTTTACGAAGGGTGACCAGATTTTCAAGTTTGTGGTGGTTGGTAATAATAAAATAATGAAACGAGCACGTATTGAAGGAAAACGGTTCAGCACTCATGAGACAGTGTAGTCACATTTTCTTTGTGTTTTGGTCATTTTCTGTATTTTATCGAAACAAATGACAATGTATGTCTCTTTTTTACTGTTAGCAGGGAACAGATTGGTCCAAAATAGGGACACCTGGGACATTTCTTGTATAAAACTGGGACAAATCACTGGTTTTGGATAAATCTGCTGGGACAGGGGACACAGGCTCAAAACTGGGACTGTCCCGGGTAAACAGAGACGTCTGGTCACACTATCTTTACGATATGTTATTGTTTATTTAGGCCAGGGGTCTCAAACTAGTAGCTCTCCACCCCCTTCCAAGTAGCTCGCCACACGATTTCTGAATTATATCCTGTATACTGCGCTTAATAACTAATATCTGATTCATTACCATTGTCAGATGCCTAACTTGTGCAATAATAAATAGAAAATTCTTTATGTTTAACAGACATCTAACTGTACCTTGCCATAGCTCTTTTACTTTCTCAATTTCTTGCATCTGCTAAAACAGGTAGCTCTCTGGCATTTTCAATTTATAAAGGTAGCTCACTAGAGGAAAAAGGCTGGAGACCCCTGATTTAGGCTAACATTTATATAGAGGAACATTTCATCTAAACATTTAACTTAAACACTTATTATTTATTTATATAGGCCTACAATATAATATTTTTTATCATAAATTATAACAAAAAATATTAAAGACATACAGACATCTGCATCTTTCGTCATGGTGCCAGATTATTTGCGGGTGGAAAAATGGCTGGTGCAGACATTTAAGATCAGCTCCATCAGGACTACTACACTACACATTGATCCAAATGACTGATTACTACACATCAATCCAAATGTTTACTGCAACGATTAATCCTTTGTTTAAGCCTCTTAAGTGGTCTATTGCGTAAGTTACCTGCGTGATTTGATGCCATTTTGATTATGATCGTGTGTCCTGCAACATTCTTGAACTCTTTTAGCCACAAGGGGGCGACAGAACTGACAGGAGCAGTGTGTTCTATGGCTGCTCCTGCACATGGAGCTGCGGAGGAGGGACACTCTCAAATATGGCGTTGTAAAGGACAAAAGGTGAGACTTTTGTTTACTCATTTATGTATAACTACAAACTGCATATAATTGAGGTAACTAACTAATTTGAAGAAGGATTTTAGTTGCAAAAAGAGCATTTATTAAGAAAATGTGTTAAAACTGGGCTTCATATAACGCCCAGGCCCAACCCAAACCCAACCCAATAAATAAAGGCCTTTAGAAGGTTTATTTGCCTCAAAAATGAAAATAATATTTATCTTATATGAGGAGAGAGAAGGGGTTGGTGAGAGGATGAGGAGAATGAAGGGGACGATGAGAGGAGGAGAGTGAAGGGGACGATGAGAGGATGAGGAGAGTGAAGGGGACGATGAGAGGATGAGGAGAGTGAAGGGGACGATGAGAGGATGAGGAGAGTGAAGGGGACGATGAGAGGATGAGAGAGATGAAGGGGTTGGTGAGAGGATGAGGAGAATGAAGGGGACGATGAGAGGATGAGGAGAGTGAAGGGGACGATGAGAGGATGAGGAGAGTGAAGGGATTGGTGAGAGGATGAGGAGAGTGAAGGGGATGATGAAATGGTGAGGAGAGAGAAGGGGACGATGAGAGGATGAGAGCAGATAAATTGGGCAGACTGGGCGGTGACTGGACAGGAGGAGCTGGAGTGAGGTGATGAAGACTGAGGAGCATGTAAGCTCTGGAGAAGCACTGAGGTAAATGGAGCAAAGTTAGAGCTTCTGGGGAGAATTTAGGCCAGCTCCATTTCCTTGACAGAAGTGACCTTGTGTAGTGACAGGCGTCATCCCACATCTGTCAGACTCTGTTGATCTCCAGAGTTTAGCTTCAGTCAGCGCTGTCCTTGAACACACAAACACTGCAAATGCAGAGTGCAAGTATTTTAGGAACTCTCATGACATTGTATTTATTTATCTTTGGAATTACTCCTTTTTGTCAGAAAACAAGTGAAGGAGTGAGTTGGTCAGAGTAAATCATGTTTTTTTATTCAAGTATAACTGAACACTCAGTTTTTTTTTCTGTGCTACTGCCACACTGTGTACACAGCAAAAACTGGAGGGTAAATATTTCAGAGAAAAATATTTCAGAGTTGTTTTTAACACAAAAAGTGTTATTTTAACTCTTTGAAATTTAAATGGGGGTTGGAGTTGGGGTTATTTGCCAGGGTTGATATGGTTGAAGTTAATTCAACTATCCCTAGTGTTAGTCCAATGAGGTTCAGATGGTCTTCCTATATTTTATGTTATTAGGTACTTTATTCAGACCAAGAGTTTGTTTTTCATACCTGACAGTTTGGACTGCTCCCTGTTCTCTTCCTCAGCGTGGTCATGTGATGTTGCTGTGACGCGTCCGCTCAGCTGCCCCTAGTGTTAATTCAACTTCCGCCTCCCACCCACCACTTCAAACTCCCTTGAGAGAAAACCAGTTTGAACCTGTTTTGTACATAATTTCATCTTAAATTAACCTCTGTGTGTCTTTTAGCTAAATCCACATAACCCTACAAAGTGTTATCCATTTACTCTCAAAACATTAATATAACGCTTGATTTCAGGGTTAAACAGGAACTTCGGTTACTTTTGTTACTTAATTAACATTTCCAGAAATGTTAAATTAACTCTCGAACAGACTGGACTCATAGAAACCCTGAGAAAATGTTCAAATTGAATCTGCGAGAGCCAGTGGTGTTTATTAGCATTGTCTATTGAGTCTAGTCATTTCTTGGCAATTTTAGAGCAAACTAGGTACATTTACAACATTATGGCCAAAACGTGTGCGCTGCACAAAAAGAGGCAGCTGCAATTTAAAGTACTACATGACATCACACAGGACTCCCCGGTGTTTCTGATTTTGACATGGTGTTTGTGGGTGCAGCATGCAGTAGTTTGAAGTGTGGATGCCTGTTAGACTAATCACACTGTTTTTATACCTCCAGACCCCGCCCCTCCTGCCCCCTTCTCCAGGCTCTGGTCACTTCTCCAGCTCTACTTTTGGTGTTTAGTCTCACTTTGAACTACTGATGTTGCTGGATTTACCATCTTTGTATAAATTCCTCTAACTGATGGCTCTACAGTTTCTATGGAATAAAGAAGTTATGAGGAGGTGATGGGAGAGCCAGATGGTTCTAAGAAGAAGAACCATCTCACTCCAGAGTCCAGAGGAGATGGTGGAGGAGAGTGAGATGTTTATATATGTGATAAAGGTGGACCTAAGGAGATGATGAGGAGAAGTGAGGTGGTTGTGAGGAAGTAATGGAGGAGAATAAAGAAGTGGTGGACCTAAGGAGGTGATGGGGAAAAAGTGAGATGTTTCTGGAGAACAGTGAGGTGACCCTGAGGAGGAGATGGTGGAAAGTGAGATGTTCTGATGAAAAGATGGAGGATAGTGAGTAGGTGATAGTGCAGAATGAAGTTGTCATTTTGGAGGTAAGAAAGGAAGAGATTTTGAGGAGGTAACACAGGAGAGTGAGATGTTCTGAGGAGGTTATGAAGCAGTGTAAGTTGTTCATATAAGGTGATAAAGGAGATTAAGGTGGACCAAAGGGGATGATGGGGAAGAGTGAGATGTTTTGAGAAGGAGATGGTGGAGAGTCAAATGTTCTGTGGAGGAGCGAGGAGGTGATGGACATGAGTAAGGAGGGCCAGAGGAGGGTGAGATGTTTCTGAGGAGACGACGGAGAGTTATCTGTGAGATCATTATCTGAGACTATGAGGAAGTCATCTGAATGAGGCCGACTTTTGAGAAAAAACATACCTGTACGTATTTGTTTCTCATCATTTAGTTGAAGTGGTTCAGTGACGAGGATTTGAAACTGATTTAGTCAGAGAGAGGGATAAACTGGTTATCGCCTTATCAGCTAAGACTTGCAAGGGAACATAGCCTTTACTCAGCCCCACCAGCGCACGGCTAATTCAGCAGGTATTTTTAGCTTTTACTCTGCGTAGCTGCTTACTGGCTACTTGCAGTTATGTCTACAACCACATTTTACTCTAATTTCATTAAAGTTTCACACTGGCAAACTAAATGTGATATTAATTTGATCTGATGGAATTTTCAACCACACATTTATTTTCTCACTTTTCAATGGTGTAATGGCAAAAAACAAGACACTGACCTTTAAAGAAATAATTTAGTTTTATTCACAGAACTTCAGATTTACATTTCCAACATTCCTATATCACCATGCCACACATCCTCATATATTTACAAATGTAATCATTTTTTATATTTATACAATTTCATTACTGTGAGGAGACACCTCTGCTGTCTGTGGGTCTAACTGCAGTTAGTCAAGTTATTTTATTTTACACTTTTGTTATTCTACAAACACATCTCAGTTCTCTGTAGAGGCAGATGTGGAAATGACAAATGATCAAACTTTACATTCAGAAATCTTTGTCAAAAATGTTTAGTTTTTTTTTTTCAGTTTATTTATTTAGAAAATCTATCTTGGCTTAATTTGACATTCAGAGAATTTCAGAGTGAACTAAAGGGCTGAGATAGAAAAGATTCACGGTGACATTTCTGTGTTTGGCCCACTTCTTTAGATGGTTCTCGCCCATGAACAGCCTGGAGCAGTTGTCCTGTCCTCTGGTCTCTGTCCTTAACCCAGGGCCTGACCCCTCTACACTCTTAGCACCAACAACTGGGGGATAATGTGCTTTGTATAAGCTAGTTGTATACGCAACAATCTGTGCATAGATAGATCAAATTAAAGTCATATATACAATAAATACATCATGTTCCCTGGAAATTTACAAAACTAACAGTTTGGAATTTGGGAGCAAACACCAGCTCATTTAAAGCACTTTCATTGAAGAACTGAGGATCTTCTCTAGATAACTCAAGAAGACTTGAAAGACGTCTTGTGTTGCTCTGGGAGGATTGGATTCTGCTAACGGTCCTTACAGTGATGTAAGTAAATGCAACAACCAGACCTAACTGTAAACGGAGGTACCTTCACTTCAGGGATGACGTCATTCTGAACTTTTCTTTCCATCAGTGTTATTTGTGTCCACGTCTCTGCTGAGAACATGAGAATTGAAAGTGCCCTGGTCCCAAAGCGTTGGCTGCTCACAGCATTACACAGGTGCCAGACTTCTGCCCATCGGGGTCTCCTCCTGCGGGCGCCTCTTTCCTGTTGGGGTCGTTGAGCTCATCGAATAGTCCACTCTCAATCATCTCCTTCTGCCACTGGATGGCCACGGCGCCGGTGCCGAACTCTTTGAAGAACTTCTCATCATTGTTGTCAAAGGTCACTCCCTTCACGTCTGAGAACTCAGCAATGTCTCCTGTATCTTTGGCGTACACCACATTGGGCTTGGGGACCCAGGGTGGATTGATGAGGCCGGCCTCCAGACGAGGGAAGTTGATGCTCTTGAACCATTCGTGCTTCCGAGGATCCTCCATATTGTTCCTAAAGACAAACACATAAAGTTTAATTATGTGAAAGATCCGTGTATTAGACATTTAATTTGTGTGGTTTCACAATATTATGTTCACTGTTTTTGAATGCCTTACTTGATGCCCAATCGTTCCTCCATTTTCTTCTTGAGGAACTGCTGGATGATGTCTTTGGTCGGAGCGTCGAAGCAGCGGTGCTCCCACTTGGGCTCCTCGTTCTGGATGCGGCGCTGCACTTCCTCCTTCTCCACTTTCACTTTCAGGCTCTCAGGGCCTTTGAATGGAGTGTAACCTGCCACCATCTCATAGATACTGCAGCCCAGGGCCCACCAGTCCACCGAGGTCCGGTATGCAGTCTTATTCAGCAGCTCAGGGGCCATGTAGGCTCCAGTACCAGCCTACAGAGAGAAGCACCAATCATTCATTAAATTATATTACATTTAGGAGACAATTCTAGTGTCCGTCAGTAGAAACCTGAGTGACCACTGAACATTATTCATACTACAGTCATAGGATGGTGTGGAAAAAAATTATAAATGAAGGAAAATTGTTTATTCTTTTATTTGAAATCTCCACAAATTTGGTTTTGATGATCACTCATGTGCAGGATAAAAAAATGAGGTGATCAGAAGTTACATATATAATCATGAACATTACATTTTAAACACTGTTGTGGTAAAAACATCTCTGTGGAATCCCTCAGGAGTCCCAACCTCTTCAGAAACATTTTCTGTAGCGTTCTTTGTCCAGTCACCTTCCCTGTCCCCTGTCCATCCCCGTGTGACCTCCTCTGTCTCAGGGGACTTGGCTCTAAGCCTAATGCTGCTAAAGCCTACTACCTGTCAGGAGTCATGTGCGTCCACTCACACAGTCGTACCAGGACCTGAGTAAAAGTCTCTGACTCCTCTATGATGGGCACATCACAGGTGATCTACATGACAGACTCATAATAAATACATGACTTATTTATTTTTATCTTTTTTCACACTCAAAAACTACTTCTTTCTTTTGTAACTGGCCTTAAGTCTTGGTTTAACTGCATAACTGTGTATTTAATCAAATCTTCAGATTTGTTGTTTCATGCTTGTGTCTGGTTTTGAGTACAAAATACACACCTAAAATATTGATAGTAAATTTTACCTGGTTGTGCCAATCTAATCAGGGACAGACTTGTGTAATGCCCACTAAGAGGATTTAAACCAAAGCTAGCTCGGCACAGTCACTTTGGCTGCCGTAGGAGCAACGGCGTACGTTAATGAGCTTAGCGGACTTTCAGAGAGCCACAGGCTTTGTTACTACAGATAGACCCCAGCAACAGACCCAACTATTAACTACAACTTGGTTAGCTTTTTGTGATCTTTTTTCTTAGGAAGTAAATCACATATAAGCACAGAAATATGTTTGTATTGTAGGTCGAGTTAACAACAGTTGTTCATAAGTTTTATTTAGTTTTAATTATTGAGGAGACTCTCTTCCCATTGTGTATCAATTAAACCACCGTTTTATATTTTTATGGGTCACACACCAATTCTCTGAGGGCCAACTAATGCCCCATTCTCCCGTTCAGAAGCCTGGGTTTCTACTGTATTTACCCCCTAACCCCCTAAGACCCCTCCCCAAATAAATCTGTAATCTACTGGTCCTAAATTAACACATGCATTATATAATGTTCACAGAAATGCAAAGATCTTCAGGACATTCTCTAATCTCTCTTCTAATTTAACCTCACTAAAACTGCTTTGTGCACTAGGCATATTTATGCTACTCTAAAAATGACTAATGAGCATGTGCCTTGCAAACCAAGTCAAGCACTCAGTTTTTACCACTTAATTACCACTGGTTTCTAAGCACTTCTCATGCCTTTAGACATACTCTCTGTGTTGTGGCCAGAACTCAATCAGTTTAATTATGACTGAAAAATATATAAAGATCACAACCAGCCAAGTGACACTATTAAAGTTCACTCATATCAGGCAAAGCTTAGGTAACCAGTAACCACATTCATATGCCTTATTAATATCCCCTGACTTATAGGCCTGTCCTGATCCAACATCAACTCATAACAGACAAGCAAAAAGACCAAATCTTCTCAAGAAGACAGGAACCAAAACCTGCACTAGAGTTTGGTAAACTCACCATCTGGTTGACGGTTTTTCCTGGCGCGACCTCGATGGCCAGACCCAGATCAGAGAGTCGACACTGGCCTTGGCTGTCGAGCAGGACATTCTCAGGCTTCATATCTCTGTAAATGATATCCATTTCATGCAGATGCAGGATTCCACAGGTGATCTGTGCTGTGTAGTAGACCACACGCTTCATCTCAATGCCCTTATCCACGCCTTTGCCATCGTAGCCCAAGTTGTAAATGTGGTATCTGAGATCTCCTCCGTTCATCAGCGTCATGACTAGGCACAAGTGGGTCTTGGTGTCATAAGCATACGCCAGATTCACCAGAAACAGGCTGTTGACCTTCTCCAAGATCTTCTTCTCCAGCAGAGCCATCTTTTCACCACCTTTCTTCTTCAGACGCTTTTTCTCTAGCTTCTTGCAGGCGTACATCTGCCCAGTGTTTTTCACCTGAACAGCACATACCTAGGGCAAAGACACAGTATTTATTTAACACTAATAGTGTCAGTGTACTTCAAACTTTTACTTTTAGTACTATGTTAGTATCTCAAATGCATCAGTACTTTTTCTGGAGTAACAACTTGAATATTCAGAAAACATTAGTCTCAAGGACGTTAGTCTCAGATCAGAAGTGAACATAAAGAGACATTTGTCAGTATAGCAAATACTTCATAACATCATGACCATCAAATCAGAAGAACCATGCCATAAGGCTTGGCAGTCTCTTTGTCTGGTTCAGGAGCTTGTGCAGAAAACATCATCTCATGTATGAAGTAGGGCTGCAACTGATGATTATTTTGCTTATCGAATAATCTAACAATAATTATTTGATTCATCGTTTGCTTCATTGGAACTTCTGATCCTTTAGAAGCTTTCAGAAACTCATCAGAAAGCTGCTCTCACTCAGTGACACAGAATGAGTTTGAGGAAGTTTTGAGTTTTCTCCTCCCATACGGCTGGACAATATGGACATACAAAAATGTGATCATGATTTGATCCTTCGATGATGTGTTATGTTGGTCAGATTGTCATGTTTCACTGCTTCTCTGTTTAATGCAGCTCAAACACAGGCTCTGTGACAGATCAATTCAACCAATCTCACTGAAGTGTGAACTCTTATAATTAACACAATCTAGTCCACAAATAACATGAACGTGAACATGATGGGATAGAATGTCTATTTACTGAAGGGTCAAATAATGGATTCTTCATGTCTGAAGGATTGAAAAGAACATCAGCGTAAAAATCACTTTGAGAACAAGGTTGGCCTTGGGTTATATTTCAGTTTATATTGTTTAAATACTTATTCTCTTTAAAGTAATGGCACTAATCCCTCTTAGCCCAGAGTCTGTTTGCCCTCTCATTCGAAAAGCCCTAAATATTACCTTAAGCTTGACACTGATATAGATCCAGTGGACCAATCTGACCAAGTAGCTTTACACAGGCATCCATTTGACCTTTGACTTTTGTCTCGGCACTTTTCCAAGTCAGACTTAAATACTGCTACTGTGCTGCTGTCTGGCATCATTGAATAATATTTAACTGTACATTTTAGAGAAATTGTGTCCTCATGGAAATGCTCATGTCTCCAGACTGCAGTTTTCTGTTTGAGTAGTCATTCATAAAAACATATTGTTCTGTAAATGTAAAATCATTTTGTGTGTTTCATTACTTCTGCAGATTGCTTTGGGGACTGCACATGCAAAATTCTCTTAGAACATACAAACGGTTCAGTCAATATCCAGGTTGTTTTGTATTTACTTGCTAAATAACAGCTACAGAACACATTTGGATCAGATTTGTCTCATTTTATTTTTGTTCAAAGGAAATAAATGCAATTTTCAGTCTCTGCATTGTTATCGGGTAAGCTATAGTATCGAAATCGGTATCGGAACTGAAAAGCTGGATCAGTGCATCTCTAGTAACAAAGATGATAAATCTGCTCTCGTTCAAACTCTATAGGCCAGGATGTTCTGTGGCAGTACCTTTTATTTTGAAATCTACCAAAAGTGATTATATTCTGTTATTTTATCTCACTGTTACTTTGTCACTACCAAAGGTCCTGTGATGTGATGTTTCGTCTTACCTCTCCAAATCCACCTTTTCCCAGTGTCCTGAATTCGTAGAAGTATTTGTCGCTGATCGGCTGCTTCTCGTATTCTTTCCACTGGAGGAACTTGTCAAAAAACGGACTGGCCTGATACTCTGTGAATGGCTTCCCTTTCAAAAACTCTCTTGTGCCGTCCTGGACTGGCCCCTTCATCACCTCATCGAAGTTGGAATCTGTCACACCTTTACACTTCTCCAATGAGTCACCGGTCAAAAAGGACAGGAAGGTCTTGGAGTCAGGTTTGGTGTACTTCTTCATAATATCTTGGCGTGCTTTGTTTTTCGCAGCCCCTTCGGCCAGATCCCAGTCGTACAGCTCGTCTAAGAAATCAGCAGCGTTCTTGTACTCGGGTTTACTGGCTAGAAAATCACGGAAGAACTTCTTGCCAATCGGTTGTCTTTCGCAAATCATCACAAAGTCCTTTTCGATGCTGGTCCGCACCGCCGCACATTGATCAGGTTTGGGCAGAGACAAACTTCGGCGGCGTTTTTTCATTTCTTTGTCATCTCCACCCTGGGCCTTTAGGTAAGCCGTATTGGCCACCAGGTTATCGAGTCCCGCCATGTCACACATCTTGGCGGTTTTTTGGTTGGTCTCTCTCCCCTAAGAAACTGGAATGTTCAGTAGTTGTCCCACAGACGGTTGCCCCTGCCCCAGCGCTGGTGAGAGTGCAGGAGGCTCAGGGACTTCACCAGGCTACCTGCAAACCTAAGACATCGCCACACCCAGTAATTACTCATTTAGAATTAAATACCAGGGAGGGATTTGGGCTTAACATCTTTGTGTAGGCTATTCAAGGATGCTGTGCACAGAAAGGGAATCGTAAACGGCTCTGTCCTAAGAGGCTTTCTAACCTGCTATATTTACCCACAGTGCACTGCAATCACTCTCAGGCTGGGTCCTGTTGACGCTGCTGGTGAGGAGCAGACAGGAGGAGAATGAGGAGAGCCAGAGCTGCACTGATGTTTCTCAGATTTAAAGTGAACTCTGCTGAGGACATGTACCAGACCCAGTCCCTCAACTGCTGACCCTTTGAGCTACTTATGATCCCAACTTTTTATTGGTCATGTAGTTATTCCCAGAAGTACTTACTTTGGAAATATCATTCATCTAAATACATATCGTACACATATTTAGCCTTACCTGTACACTAATGGACTCTTAGATCACGCCCTTTACAAACCTTTTAGTGTTGTTAACTAATACAGACTTGTGATTTTGTTATTGCTGAAGTGTGGTTCACTGTTTGGAGCCCGGTACAGTTCTGTGCATATTCATGACAGCTCACCTGCTCTGTCCGCTCTGAGAAATCACTAAAGTCACTCTTTCGCCTATCCATTTCACATATAAATCTTACAGGCCAAAAGTATCTCATCTCCTTATTTCACATTACATATTGTGCATCAGAACAACAGATATTTTGTGTTTGGAGTGAGAATTTACTTTGGTCATTTGCAATTTACTTCCCAGAGCCTCAGGAGTAAAACATCTGTCATACTGAGTTCCTGTAGGAATGTGTTTGAATTTAAACTATTATGAAGATAGTTTTTAGTTTTCATTTTCATTCAAGATGGATACAACATTCTGTGGAACACAACATACACCATGGAGACAAGACAATGATGGACTCCCCACCAAAAAGGTTACACAGTGTACCTTTAAAAAATGGGAATTATGAAACCAACAAATTTCTACAGCATTGTTGCTAATTCCTCAAACAAACTGTTGATGCTTTGACCTAATCCTCAAAGCTCAAAGACTCTGACCGTGACCCTGTGACTTACTGAAGACTGTGGCTCAAAGATCAACCAGTAACACTCCAGATTATATCAACTACTCTACTATTCTCATCTGTTTTATTATCATTTTATTTGATTTTTTGTTTGATGTTGACGTAGATCTTTACTCAAAACTATATGGAACTGGTATTTACATTTGTATAAAATATCACTTTAAAAAAATGCAAACATAAAGACTCAGACAGAGGCTCAGCAGCTACATGGTAATGTAACTAATGTCCTTTATCAGATGTTTTCAGTCCAAAAATATATATATAATAAAAAATAAAATAAAAAATTATTTTACTTTGCAAATATTTGAATAACTTCATGTTGTTTTTTTTTATGTTAAAAGTCTTGTCATTTGTTACCAAATTGCTAATTAGCTCACAGTAAGCTTTTAATTCAATTGTATCAAATGAAAATTGCCTTGTATTTTATTTTTATTTATAAAGTTTATGGGAAAAATGAATGAAGTGAAATTTAGTGTGAAAATGGCCACCACAGTGTACACACTGTAGTGCTGAGTACGATATTGTGCGGTTCTATTAATATCAAATATGTCAAATGTCAATCATTTAAATGGATCACAGTGTCACTAAAGCACTTAAGCCTCTGAGGGGATCAGTGGATGGCGTTGGACTCGTCTTCAGGAGCCAAGATGGCGTCCGAGTTACCCCAGTCAGTAGGTTCTGTCCTACAACCACAACCAAGCTCCAACATTGTTTTACTCAAGGAACTGTATGCAAATATGTCTCTCTGTATATATGCAGCTTTATAATGAGCTGTAACTATAATTATCCTCCTTCCTCACTGTAGCAGAAGAGTAATAAGAATAAAAATTACATTGATTCAGTCATGAAAAAAGAGTCAGGGTATTATGCAAAATTGACTTTTTGAAGCTTTTATGTCATAATGCTGTTCCCTCATCAAAAACATGCATGAAAAGTTTTTAGATGTCATCCATGTTTGAGTCATTTAGGGATCTCTTTGACCTCTCCTTACGTTAGCAGTACGATCTTGTACAAGACTCAGCCCACAAACCCACTTCACCCGAGCTCCCACACAACAGTTTTTATAAATACGCAAAACCAGGATACAGAAAAAACCCAAATGTAATGTGAGACTGTAGCTCTGGAGGGGGAGTGACTTAGCATGGAGAAATAAACTATGTTATATGTTGACTGTCAATACCCCATAGTCGTGTAATACCCCCTCTTTAAATTATTCAGTTAACACAGTTGTATAAAAATCTAATCTAATAACAATTCAGACATTTTCTTAAAAGGCCAAATTTGAGCATTACTGTAACTATTATTTTCAGTATCAAACATCGGCACAAGGGCTGCAAAATGAATCACAGTGAATTTAAATCACAATTCCAATAGTGTCAGTTCACACGTTGCAAACACAGCATTTATTTAAAGTATTATCTAATGTATAAACCTATAAAGCTGACTTGTTAACCCTGTCATTCACAGGTCTCTCTGTAGCTTTGGCGTCTAAAGAGAGAAAAGTCCATTGTCTGCAAGTTTAAAATAGCCAACAGTGCAAATAAGAAGTATTTATATGTTCTTACACAAGTCTGAGATGCGGTGAACACCACAGTGGCATTTACAACCTTTAATCTCTTAATCTGTCCCTCCTTCTCTCTCTCTCTCTCTCTTCTCAGTGTCTGTGAGGTGAGGGGACGGAGAGGCCAGTGTGGCACAGGTGGCTGCAGCATAAATCCTCTGCTCCAGTTGTCTCCAGATCAGCAGATCCAGCAGCGCAGCAGAGGGGGGCGCACCGGCGTGAACTTTAGTTTTACAGCCAAGTCAGCAGGAGGTTTGAGGGCCCTAGTTTGGACACATTTCATATCAATTTCTCTTATGATAAAAAGCAATATAGTAGTTGTAGGTTTTGGTTATATTTAGAGCAGGAGTCTCCAGCCTTTTTACTCCGGTGAGCTAAGTTTACAAAATGAAAATACCAGAGAGCTACTGGTTTTAGCGGTAAATATAAGAGCTACAGCGAGCCATAGATGAGGTACAGTTAGATGCCTATAAAACATAAACCATCATCCATAGTAGAGCACAAAATGATGCACACATAATGGTAATAGACTTTTAATTAATCAAAACAGACTTATTCAGCACAATACATATCATTCAGAAATACTACTCTGAAGGAGGTGGAGAGCTACTGGTAACTCCTGAGCTGCAGGTTGGAGACCCCTGATTTAGAAAAAGTTCAAGGTTCAAGATGTTTGAATTTCAATGATTTTAATCTCAATCTCTTTTTCTTTCTCATCTATTTCTTTCTCATCTGTAGGGCCTCCAGAATGGTAATGCTGCCTCTTAGAATTGGTTGAAAAAAGACAAACATGGACTATATCAGGAATAAATTAGGGTTACTGTTTATTTTGTACGATCATAAATGATAAACTTTGTGCCTACGTTAACATTATTATTAGTTAGTGTGACCATAAAGGAAAATATATTTCTGCGTGTATGTATATGTGTGTTATGGTATGTATGTTTGTATGTATGTATGTGTGTATGTATGTGTGTATGTGTGTATATATCTTTATATGTATATGTGTGTTATGGTATGTATGTGTGTATATGTTTATATGTATATGTGTGTGTATTTATGCAATGCATATGACTGGTAAGCACTCCAAAGGTGTTTAAAAAAAAAAAGTTTTTAAATATTGTGAACCACATGATTAGGTAGAGCAGTTGGGGTAGGACACTCTAAGTTTATTAATCTTCAATCTACTCCATATTAGAGCACAAAATGATACATGCATAATGGTAAAAGACATTTAATTAATCAAAACAGACTTATTCAGAAGATGAGGTACAGTTAGATGCCTATAAAACCATCGTCCATAGTAGAGCACAAAATGATGCACACATAATGGTAATAGACTTTTAATTAATCAAAACAGACTTATTCAGAACAATACGTATAATTCCGAAATCCCTTGGAGAGCTCCTTCAGAGGAGGTGGAGAGCTACTGGTAACTCCTGAGCTGCAGGTTGGAGACCCCTGATTTAGAGAAAGTTCAAGGTTCAAGATGTTTGAATTTCATTGATTTTAATTTCAATATCTTCTTCTTTCTCATCTGCTTTGAGCCTGCTGTCATTTCTTATAATGAAAACAACAGGTTATCCCCAGGTTTGACTACCCCAAAATTTAAGACTTTTTAAAGACCATTTAAAGACCACTTAAATGAAAATAAAGACCGACATCGCACCCATTATGTGGGCGAAAAACACCAGATCCAACTCTAATGACCAGTACTCACTGCTTTAAATAACAAAAAATACTTATAGAGATTCATTTATAGTCATATGCATTGCTTGTAAAATGTCCAAAAAATCATTTATTATATTCTAACAAGACAAACCTTATCATAACCTTTCACATTGTCTTCCTTCAACCATTTAACGTTTTCAACAACAACAAACTCTTGTTCACTCTACTGATTGTTTACTCATTGCCGCCGTTGCCAGAAACCAAAGTATTGTTTGTCCATACTCCAAATTAGACGTTCATTCAATTTCACGTTGTTGTTTTTTTTCCTCCCTCCATTTAACTTTGCTCTGCAGCCCGTGTCTCTGATGGTGGATTCTCGTCTTCAGCTTCCTCTTCCTGTGCTTCTGGAAGCTTGACCTGGTGGCGGTTGATGAGCAGTTGGAGTTGAAGTTTGTTGGTGAAGAAAATGCGTCTCCAGCCGATGTTGCGGGCCAGAGTCACCACCTCGTCTGGCAGAGTGCTACACTGCTGCCTCACCGCCTTCTCCCA